TGTTGAGGTCGGAAACTTTTCAGACCACCTGTGTAATACTAAGACTACTGTGCGTACGTCCGTCTGTCGCTGTTCGCAAAATACAGTCGTATTTCATCATCAACAGCCTAAATAGTCGACTACTGGACCTCTCCTTAGAAAGGCGATTCTGTTAACTTTTAAAATGTGGAACCACTTTTATATAGACAAGGCAATAATATAAGAAATTGGTTAAAGCAGTTAGAAAGGGTTTTATTGTAGTTACAAATACAATAATGTAAGATTTAATGAATACGTAATGTATGCAAGGAAAAAACAGTTGAGTAACTTCTAAACAGTCAAACGTCACTATAATAACGACAGTCATAGATAAGTTGTAGGAAGATATGTAGTCTCTTCACACCCTCAGAACTTTTTAGAATTTTTAAATTCTTTTTAGACCAATTTTTTCACTTAATTCTTCCAATCTTGGGCCAAAGAGCGGATTGGTTAACATGTCCGCCAGTTGTCTGACGGATGGTACTTGTTTTACTTCAAGTTCACTGTTGTTTGCATATTCACGCATAAACAGGTGCTTCTTCCGCTTCTTTCCGTCTTCAAACTTAATGTGCTTGGTCCGCCTATGGTACTCATATTTAGGATTGTGTGAAAGCTTTATAGCTGATTCATTATCTAGATCTAGAGTACAGGTTTTTGTTAGATGGCCAAGTCTTTCAACAGGCTGTTCAGCCACAAAATTTCTTGTATAGTTTCACTGGCAGCGATTATCTCCGCTTCAGTTGACGACAATGATACTATAGTTTGTCGCTGACTTTTCCAGCTAATAGATCCTGAGAGTAAGCACACCATCCCAAATGTCGATCTACCTGTTGTTTGATATCCTGCGAGGTCGGAGTCAGAGTAACATACCAAATTGTTTGGTGACTCCACTGTGTGCCTGTATACTAAAGCTTTGTCTATAGTCCCCTTGAGGTAGCGTAAGATCCGTTTCACTAGCATGACATCAATTGTAGTGAGTGTCTCTAGGTTTCTGGATGCTTTGCTTACAGCATAGGCTATATCTGGCCTTGTTCCTACTGCTAAGTAGGTAAGAGCTCCAACGGCCTGTCTGTATTCAAAATCTATTTTTAATATTAGGTTCTGTATCGTTGACACATTCTTTACTTATCGGAGTTGGTGTGGACTTACTGTTCATCATACCAAATTTCTCAAGAACCTTTTTTATATAGACTTGTTGGAATAGAGTTATTCTGCCTTTTTCTGCTTTTATTTCCATACCCAGAAAGTAGTCGATGGGTTTGGTTGTGATCTTGAAACGAGCTTTTAGTTTATTAATTAACCCTTTTCCTGCAACATTTGTGTTAGACGCCACTAGTCCATCATCAACATAGAGTCCGATTAAGACTCTGGATTGTCGTCTGAGTCTGGTGTATAAGGAAGGGTCTGCTTCACTTTGTTTAAAGCCAGTTTTTATTAGAAATTAGACTGCGAAATAAACTCAAACTCTCTTAATTTCATAAAATGTTCAAAATTGTTTGAAATCGTCTTTTATGTAGACTCTAAAGTCATAGATCAACACACACAAAAGCAACAATCTCTGTTTTGTCAAATAGTAAGCAAATAAATTTAACAAAAATCAAACCCATACAAAATCTGTGATATGCCTGTGCCGATCTACGAGAGCGGGTCAATAAGTCTGTGACTTTTGGAATAAAACACAGATTTTTTGATAAATAAATCATTTTATTTTTCAACGTAGTCTCCCTTGAGCTCTATACACTTTGTCCAACGCTTCTCCAATTTTTTTATCCCTTCCAAAAAATATGATTTGTCGAGGTCCTCAAAATAGGCCTTTGTTTGCGAGATGACTTCATCATTGGAGTCAAATCTTTTTCCACTAAGCCATTTCTTCAGGTTTGGGAACAAGAAGTAGTCACTCGGAGCCAAATCTGGAGAATAGGGCGGATGAGGGAGCAATTCATAGCCCAATTCATGGATTTTTGCCATGGCAACTGCACATGTGTGCACCCTTGCATTGTCTTGGTGGAAAAGAACTTTTTTCTTGGCCAAATGAGGTCGGTTTTTTTTCAAATCGTCATTGAATCGGTCCAATAAGTTGGCATAATATTCCCCATTGATTGTTCTTCCCTTTTGAAGGTAGTCAATGTGGATTATCCCGCGTGCATCCCAAAAGACAGTCGCCATAACTTTATTAGCTGACAAACCCACCTTGGCCTTCTTTGGCGCCGATTCACCCTTAGAAACCCACTGTTTTGACTGTTGTTTGGTCTCTGGTGTGTTGTGATGGATCTATGTTTCGTCCACGGTTACAAAACGGCGGAAAAAATCTACCATGTTGCGATTAAACAACGCCAAACCTTCCTGTTCAGTTGTTACATGATTGCGTTTGTGGTCGACTGTGAGCAATCGCGGCACCCATCTTGCGGAAAGCTTTCTTATGCCCAAGTGATCATTCAAAATTGAAACCACTGAGCCATGCGAGATCCCTACGGCTTCCACAATCTCTTGCACTTTCAATCTTCATCAATCTTCTTCATCAAACACCATATCGTGAATTTTTTCGATTGTTTCGGGTGAAGAGACCTCAACTGGGCGTCCAGGACGTTCGGCATCTTCAGTGCTTGTACGGCCACAACGAAATTCAGTGAACCACTTTTTTACCATTGAAATCGATGGTGCAGAGTCCCCATAGTATTTATTAAGCTTAGCCTTGGTCTCGGTAATGGTTTTTTTTCGCAAAAAATAATACTTAATAGGCACACAAAATTCACTTTTTTCCATTTTTTCTTCAAATTACTGGGTAGTCTGATAAAGATAGCTGTCAAACACAAGTTCAAATTTTAACAGGAGTCAACTGACAGATGCCTGTTGACAGGAGTAGTGTTGCTTTTTCAGTAAAGAGGTCAGAAATTCAAAAAGTCACGGACTTATTGACCCGCCCTCGTACAACCGCTCGCCTCCAAGGGGTTGAGCCTTATGAGAAGAAAGGGCAAACAAACTCATGGCCACTCTTATGCAATTCACAGATAGATGGCACTATTAAATATACCACAACATTGTTTTGATGTGTGCTAGTATGTCCGTTATTAAGGACTAAAAGTTAAAAAGACAATGAAGAGAAATAGTTTGCATATCCGGTTAGTTCCATCTGTATATGCAATACTCTTATTATACGAGAATGTAATAGTCAAGAAGTGATTTCATTTATAACACGTCCTCAAGCCATATGAAAACATAACTAGATCGAAAGTTGATCGAAACTGAATTGAGAACGAACTGTTATTACGAATTGGCATTCAGGGCCCCACATATTCACGATCCGCCCCTGAGTACACATACAAGTACATAATATACAATTCTCAGCATAAAAACTCTCGGGAAGACCTGCATTGCTAGAACTTTCATAAGTGACTAGCTGACCCTGCAAGCGTTGTTTTGCTATTTACATTATTTAATTTTTTTTTTAATTTTTTAAAATCCGTTCTTAGCTGACCTCTACTCGGTGAAAAGAATATTCCTACCAAATTTCAAGTCTTTAGCTCTAATGGTTCCAGAGATATCGTGATGAGTGACCATTTACGTGGAAATCTCTTATATATATATATATATATATACGAGGGGTGATCAATAAGTAATGATAATCGAGTATTTCTAGAACGCACAAAAACCCAAATTATTTTTTTTCTGCTTGCTTATATATCCACTACTTCAGTTTAAAAAAAATGTATAAATAGGACACCATTACCGGGAGATACATTCATTTGAATACGAACTGTCGAAGAGAAAACATCAAAATGGAGAAAAATGAAATAAGAGCTGTCATCAAGTACCTCTGCCTGAAAAAAATGTCTACCAAAGCCATACACAGCGACTTAGAGGAAACATTGGGGGAGTCTGCTCCTCCATATTCCACAGTCGCACGCTGGGCAAAGGAATTTAAGCTGGGCAGAACCTCCACTGAAGATGAACATCGCGAGGGACGCCCTTCCACGTCCCTTACTGGAGAAAACGTCAAAAAAGTGGAAGATATCGTGTTGGCCGATCGAAGGGTGACCGTAAGGCATGTAGCTGAGGTCACAGGGATCTCCTATGGCAGCGTTAAAAAAATCATTGTCAACAAAATGCATATGAAAAAGGTCTCTGCGCGTTGGGTACCGAGAATGTTAATCGACGAGCAAAAAAAGAAACGAGTCGACATTTCGAGGGTGAATCTTCAAAAGTTCCAGGCCGATAAAGAATTTTTTTGTTGCGTTTTGTGACCATGGACGAGACCTGGATCCACCACTTTGATCCCGAAACCAAACAACAATCAATGACTTGGAAACGAGCTTCCTCACCAACGCCGAAGAAATTCAAAGTGTCAAGTTCAGCGGGAAAGGTTATGGCGTCTGTTTTCTGGGATGCAGAAGGAATTATAATGGTGGAATATTTGGAAAAGGGGGCCACTATAACAGGCTCTTACTACGCAGGCCAAATAAGAAGATTGCGAGAAGCTATTAAGTCAAAAAGACGCGGTAAACTGCGCGCTGGAGTGCTGTTTCACCAAGACAACGCCCCGGCTCACAAAGCCGCAGTTGCGATGGCTGCCATTGAAGAAACGGGGTTCGAACTGCTCGAACACCCTCCCTATTCGCCAGATCTAGCTCCCAGTGACTTCTACCTCTTTCCTCGGCTCAAAGAACACCTCCGGGGCAACAAATTTGAGGACAATAGTGAAGTGATGGCCGCAGTAGAGGCATTTTGACAGGGTCAAGAGAAAGAATTTTTTTCTAAGGGAATCATGGGCTTAGAAAAAAGATACACTAAATGTATTAACTTGCAAGGAGACTATGTTGAAAAATAAAATACTTTTTTTAATCTAATAGTTCTGTTTCATATTGATTATCATTACTTATTGATCACCCCTCGTATATATATATATATATATATATATATATATATATATATACATATATATATAGATTATAAAATAGGTATAGTAAAACAAAAACCATTAAAAATTAAATAACTGTTTTATAATAATGTTCAAATAACTCCTTTGAGCTCAAACTTTCTAAATATTCCTTATATTTAGAAATATAATCTTTTTTCAATAAGGACACGGCGCGACTGTATCGATTTTTCTCGAACTGTGGTAATGACGTCCAAGAAACATTGCCACCTTCTTCTGGTGCGTTTAACAAGTAAAACAATTGATGGCCAGTCCTGAAACCAAAGAGCATGGAGTGCTGATGTTATTGACTAACCTGATAAAAATAAATAATAACCACGCGATTTTTGATCTAGACCAAGATAGGTACGTGTCCAACTCAAATAGGCAAGTCATGATATTTAGGTAAACGCATTGATATTTGTTAAATCATTGTGCAAAGTTAAATAAATGGGCAGTTCAATTTATTTACACATCAACATTGATGACATTAAAAAGAGCCTAGTGAGAGTTTATTTTACATCACACATCTCGGCGACCGACCGCGAACATAAAATCGATCGTTACGGCGACCGCTCTCCTTTGCGATTGTTGAAAAATTCTATCGGACCAATCGCAACGCCAAATGCGGTCACCGACTCATCGTGGCGATCGAGTTGGTGTGGAATATAATAATAATATTTTGGGACAAATTTTACATGGAAAACACCCAAACTCCGAAACAAATATTTGCAGATCATACAAACACTTGGTCCGACCTGCACAGTTGCCGCATACGCTATCACTGCGCTATCGAGGCAGTTAAATAAAATCACACTAGGCCTTATGAACCCTAATTTGTTTTTACACATATAAAAATCAAGTGATTTCGGAATTGGTTTATTGAATGTTGCATGCATTCCGATTTTATTGCGTAACCATACTAAATAAAGCACTGAAAATACTTTGAAAAAATATATTTTATTTAATTTATCTAATAAGAATAAGTAATCAAAAATGTTGTTAAACATTTATTTCCTTTTACATTTTGTGACTTACTTTATGGAAGGTGGTATTGGTTCAATCAATGACTGTGATTGTAGTTCATCATTTTCTGGATCTGCTTCTAGTATATTTTGATCTTGTTCCAATTCACTAAAACTATATTATATTAATGCTAACAGATTGAAAGGTTAAAACCTAATTTATTATTATATGGGTTTGGATGTTGGGTATAATATGTATATACTTACCAAAAAATGTATACAGGGTGTACACTATTTTAGAATTTGTTACGATGAAATGTTCTGTTTACTCATTGTGACATTTTTTAACCAAACAATGAATTTTCTTGCAGGAAATCTCAATAATTTCACTCATGAATGATTTCATTATTTCACTCAGAATCATGGTCATGGTGATGTTCCTTACACCCTGTATAATGTGTAGTACCACTTATAGTAAAAGTATACTTAGTTTAGTTGGTTGTACAATGTGTCCCAGAGTATTGTTATTATTTAAATATTAGATTAAATTTTTATATGCAATATTAGCATATAGATATTTAAATAGACTGACCACAAAACTACTATTGACCACTAACTATGTATTCATTAAGTGCTACTAAATTGTACTGCATAAATAATTCTCTTAAGAGTAAAGAGAAAGATTAAACAGTCAGTTTTGTGTACAAAAAGAGATAGTTTAGTGCTTTATTGTTTACTTTATAAACTATTTGGCAGGTATCTTTGATTAATTTGCCATTTCTCCTAACTAATATTCTTTCTACTAGTAGATAGTATAAGGCTTATTTAATATGTCTATATTTATCAATAAACCATGTTGTCCTATTTCAGATTGAATTACTAAAATACTTACTTTATTGTAGGTTCTTCAGAGTTGATTCTTTGATTACTAATATTAATTTTACAATTTGTTTCTAATGGTGGAGTCACACTTAGTCTTCTTTTATAACTACAATTGGATAATTCTTCTTCAGACCCTCTGTTGTCAGTATTGTTTATAGTAGAATCAATATTTTCTAAACTGCAACAGATAATGTGTTGCTAATAAAATACCTATTCAGTTACTTGTTGTGCATTTAAGTGACGAAATGTGAATAATTGAATTTGTGCATTTTTTAACCTTCATGCAACTTCTTTGGCGACTACCAAAAAAAAACCATATCTTTACAATTAGTAACAGTGCATGGTTTTTTTATGGTTTAGGGGAAAACAAGCAAACAGATCACCAGATCATAAGTGACATTTACATAAACAAAACACTTCTTACCTAACTTTCTTGACTTTTAAGTAAGGCTTTGCACTTTTCAACTGTTCAAAAAATCGTGATTTGTTTTTATCTTTACATTCCTCAAGCTTTTTGGCAAACTTTTGCTTTTCTGACTCAGTGAGAGACAGGTATGACTTTGTTGCTTCTATTAAATTGTTCTTATACTGAAACAATACAATACAATTGAATATGAAGTAATAAAATATGTACAATTTTAGCTTTCAAAGATTATTATGTAAATTGTTACATCAAATACCATACCCATATCAATGCCTAATTTGAGGTTCCATTGATATAAACAGAGCTTACATTTAGATCATTAGAAATTGTTATTAGGATCAAATTAAAAATAAAATTACCCTGCATTTTGTGGCACTTTTTCGATCACAATACAATTTTATGTAAAATGCCAAAGGTGTTTGGGGCAATTTCGCAATATTTCTGTTCCTTTTTGAAGTCATACTCTTTGTTTATTCGTTTTTTTAACTAAGTATTTATTCGTGTAAATAAATATTCTGTTTGAAAACTACTGTGTTTACGATACTAAATACAGCCTTGCGAAACTCGCCTACAAAACACAAATGTGTACAAAATCCGAAGGCTTAAAATATAACACCTGTTTTTTATTTCTTATGCTGCATTATGAAATAAATCTGCCACCTGTTACTTTTAGCTGTCAATTTTGTTAAGTACACAGAACATATATACCCCTAAAGGGGTAAGTAAGTATTTGCTGGGGGTAGGGCAGGGTCTGTCAACTTTGTTCTTAGAACAAGATGTAGGTGGGCTTGAAAACAAGAAAGAGACAACAACATTAGAGTAAAAGAGATGAATTATAAAATGTTGCCACCAAAATTACAATTTCGTTTTCTCCAAAACAATGAGCTAAAAAAGAAAGTCACCCTTAAAAATACATTTTGTGATTATTCTGATACCCAAAAAAATTATTTTGCTAAGAAATATAACATATTTAATTGATCAATACACAAAAACAAAAAAAAGATAAGGGGGAAAATGTGTGGCAACTACTGGCAACACGTTTGACGTCACAAGAAAAATGTCTGCCTGCGGTTCCCGCACCATTTTATCTTGTACCTATGTTTATTTGTAATAAATAAACTAAACTAAACTAAACTAAACTAAACTAATAAACGTGAGTCGAGTTTGCTCCTCCGTGGCTGTGTTTTGGTGAAATTAAGTGTGTGTTTGTGAGATATAGACTCGGTGTTGAGATAGTGACTTGTTTGATTGTGTGTTTAATTTTCGCAATGAGTTCGCAGAAAGAAAACACTAGAATCTGTTGCATGTGTGGATCTTCACCTTCTAAAGATTCCAGCATCACTTTGCATCGGTTTCCTAAGCCTGGCTCAAAAAATGCTCTGCGGTATGTACCTACCTAAGTACTTTCCATGCTATTCGTTTACATCCTTTAAATCTCTTTCAATCAAAGGAAATACAGAAAGTTTAGATTGTTATTTAGATAAAACTTAATTAAAAATATGATTATTAACCCTTTCCCCCCGGGGTAGTGATTTTTAACAAATTTTCGTATTTTGTTTTCGTATTTTATTTTTCGTTGACTTTGAACTGTGTAGTATTTTTTTATTTTTTGTGTAAGTATGTAAATGTGAGTACAGTGTAGGCTTGTAATGTTAATTAATTTTTTATTATCTTTCTGGTGGTTTTGAGTGTTTCCACGGCCTACCCAAATGTCCTGCTGGCGGTAGTGTCGTGCTTCGGGTCGTTGATCTTGACCAATATCGGTTAGGCTACACGATGGCTGGAGCCTGTATGCCGTCTGTATGGACAGGTTGACTCAAAACTATGATCCTTTCCTCAAAAGGCCTATCCAGACCCTATACTGTACTCGCACAGTTTTAATTAACTTTGTTTACGGACTTAAAAAAAAAAGACACCTCTGTGGTTTGTTTCGGTGTTTCTTCCCAGAGTGAGTCTTAGGAAATGCCGGCTCCTTCTATAAAGTCCGACTTGTAAAAATATCTGAAAAGATTTACTTACAGAAATAAATATCATTTCATTTCATTATAGGCTGATTATGCTTTATTTATTATTTTACAACTTGTTTTATTAATGGACGATAGTGTAGCTAAATTGGTCAGATCTGTCTACCTTCAACAAAAATAATAAGTATCTCTCTTGTTAACCATTTCTTTATTTATTTTATTAAACTGAAATAATACATATTATATAATATTATGATATATGTCTGTAAAGTGTAAACTTGTGTTTGACCTTGTCTAGCTTTTTGATGTTAAAATTGTATGCAATAGACCATATGGTCGAAGATGCTTGCTGTATTTTCAAATTGTATGTATTATCTCATTTTTAGAATATTATGTTTAATTTGTGTTTAGATTAAGCGACAAATTTTGTGATTAATTATCATTACATACACGCCATGTCAGAGGCCTGTGGGATTCCCAGAGGCGACTTAATAAGCTCTGACACTAGAGGGTGGCCACAACACACGCAAAAAAATTACATACACATACTTGTGAACACCTTTTGTCCCAAATGAATATATAATCCAAAAACACATTTATTCATGTAAAATTAGTATATAGTTGCTTATAATATGAATATCTGATAAATTATAATGAATATTATGCTAAATAAAAAAGTCAAATACTAATGTTTCTTTTATTACACTGTTCCATAAATATTGCTTTCAGCATTTTATGCACAAGTACAGTGTGTTTCTCGATAGTGATGTCGTTTAGATGTCAATTGTTTTTGCTGAGAAATAATTGACCATCTTGATGAACACTATCGAGAAACGCACTGTACTTGTGCATAAAATGCAATACAAAGTATCTGTTTTGAAATTCCCGCCCTAGCTTCTACTGTCTAGTTTTGGTGGGCGGAGCATAGATGGCGCCGGCCGGTAAGGAAAAATTTCCTCATAAAAATAGTATGGAGTCGTTATTCTTCCCCTTTAGGGGTATATATGTTCTGTGGGGTAGGGGTTAAGTAGGTATTTGCTGTCAATGTTACTGAAATGCCTACTGTGGAGTGTAGCCACAGATTAGTATAATGAGCAAGCTGAGTGTAACACAGAGTAATATTACTATAGATAGTCAAACCGCCGCGCCGCGGCGCGCCTTAAGCTTGGCCCTCCCGATGGTTTGCGGGACGCGGGGCGGGTGATGGCGGCTATACACGACTCGATGTACGAACTCGATATCTTCAGATTTATTTATTTGACATTTAATTTATTGTAAGTTTTTATGATTGATTGTAACATTTTTATAGTTGTTCAGTAATTTTAATAAAATCACATTCTCTTTATCATGTATATTAAATTCAGATATAATTTAATAACGAATTAAAATCATAAATATTCTTTAATAACTTCAAACAATAGAACCTCTGTAAAATTAATGTGTATTATACTAGAACCAAACTACGTCTGATATTGATTAAATCGACAACTTCTCATCATCATCTGAGTATTTCCATACACAGCATTCGTACGCCACCCGCGGCGAACACGCGTCAGCCAGAGAACCCCGGGCCCTAAACTACTGGTCGTTGGCGGGTTTCACCTGGCTTGCAGTAGTAAATTAATTTGATTCTCGTCGTTATGTCAGCATGATCGTCTACATCACAATATACAGAAAAACATAAAATGCGAAAAAACATAATTTTTAACTAAATTAAATTATATGTATAGTTACTACTTTTAATAACCTCTTTATTTTAAAAACAAATAACGTACTAAATCCTGAAATCATAATCACCTAAAATCATACAAATGCTAACTTTTCGTCATTCAAACATAATTGAGCGGTTCACTTATCTTTGAATATATTTTAATGTTATATCTTTATGACAAAACAAATATGCATTAATAGATAATAATAATCGTTGTAGTTCATAGCATTAGTTGGATCATATAAATATTTTATACGTTTGCATTAAATGACTTAAAAATCTACAAATGCATTACTATCTTCATAGGTTGCAGTCGGATAATTAACCTTTATTAACTGCATTTTATGGGTAATTAGGGTAAAAAAATGGTTAAATAACTGTAGCTAACGGGTTTTTTTACAACTACAGTCTGCACCAGCGCCATTCTGATCGGTTTTTGAACTGTTATTAAAATCATAAAGTTGGACACTTTATTAACTTTTCTCCCATAAAAGAGATGATTCTCCTTAGCTCTACCATCCATAATACCTACCCTACAAACTCCTGATCATAGAGATATAAGCATAGAGTGAATATAAGACACTTCACGATGGCCAATCACAGCTTAGCGAAACAGAGACAGAGGGATCTATCGGGCATCCATCTCTCTTGTTGCCTGTATCGCTTTCACTTACAAGCAGCTGTACCCCGTGTTCTCTCTATACTCCCGATATTAGGTGCCCTGAACGGGGCACTGAGCTAAATAGGCGGTTTCCATTTTAGGTAGACGAGAATGTCGAATCGAAGGATCCAAAAAGTTGCATTAAATAAAGCAGTCACAAGAAAATATTAAAAAGGAAAGACTAATAAAGAAGACGTAGGTAAAACTCGATAATACTAAAGTCTGCTACTATAAAACTGTGCAGTTTTTCCTTTAGTTTTAAGCTCTGGTCTACTTGCATAGGCACACCTGCACGGATGACTGCTCTGGTAAACCATACGTGTGGAGTGGCTTAAGTGTCCTTGGGCAGGATGATTTCAAAAAATAAGAGTGTAAGTCGTTAAAAAAATGAATGACAAAAATTATGTAACACTTGAGAAGCGTAGGTTTTCATTTTTTTTCCAAAATTTTAAATTATACCTTTATTCATATAATTTTATAGTAATTTTCCAATAGTATAGACATGGTACATGACACATATGTCTTTAATCCCTTTTCTTTTTTGAATGCCATGGCTGAAAGCATGATGGCAAGGGACAATAGATGTAAAGCAACCGATTTAAAACGTTATAAATAAAATGTTGCCGTTTTAAAACCGAAATTAACCGTTTTAAACGGTTGAAAACTCGCCCACAAAAATAAAAGAACTGTCTTTGACACTTCATTCTGGGCAATTTATGGTTACCTGACGTCATGTTTAATTAATTTATAGAAAATCAATAGAAAGTACCTACCTACATTACCTACTACACGAAAACTAAGTATGTAGGTATAATGCACGTATTTTTACGCACGCTTGACTCGAGGAGTAAGCTGGTGCATGGATGAAGGAGGTCGCGTTAGACCTAGTGGACACTACGACATTTTTAGGTATAACACTAGATTCTAAGCTACAGGGGGCCCACATATTCATAAATTATCGAGTAGACGCAGCTCAGTAGCATTTGCGGTAAGAAAAATTCGAGAGTTGACTGATTTTGATACAGAACGACTTGTTTACTTCAGATATTTTCATAGCACAATGTCGTACGGTATTCTACTTTGGGGGAATGCTGCCGACATACAAACTATTTTTGTACTACAAAAGAGATCGATTTGAGCACTTTATAATTTAGGCAATCGTTGTTTATTGAAGCAGTCTCCATACAAAAAAAATTTGGAACCAAATTGCATCCTCATTGAGTTTACAGATAAGTCTTTATTAATATAGCTGCATAATGTTTTCCTTTATTTTATCAATTTGTCTCAATTAGTCTCAGGAATTTTTCAAATACGTAAATAATGCGTTTAATAATGCACCACAAACTACATTCCTTATTCATTGAGTACTTAGAATTATAAAACTACTATCTGATTCCCATTTTACGACACATTATACAGTATTTCCACTATTTGAACAAAATGGCTGTAAAATGGTAACACTAAACTGATAAAGGAAATTAAAATAATCAAATAAGCTTAAAATATTTTTCTTTCTTTTCTGGGGTTTTATTAGACTTAGACGATAGTTTCAAAAAACGTAGATTTAGTTTCGTATGAATGACATTTTAAGAGGCTCAAATTATACTCAACTACGAATTCGCCATTGTTTTTTAAAGAAATAAACACAATGACAGTGGCAAGTAATATATATAAAGATGAAAAGAAGTGATGTACACTCTATAAATACCAGAAATAGAAATAAACTTGTAGTACCCGCCTCTGTGCTCCAAAAGATAAACAAGTCTTTTCGAGGTCAATGTGTGCGATTTTATAATAAAATCCTTAATAATTTTCAAAACGTAAATATTTAACAAATTTAAATCCGCAATAAAACGTGGCTAGTGCCAGAGGGCCTATTACTCAATTGTGGATTACATAGAAGACAAAAATGCTTAGCATTAATTAGTTCAGGGTATTTCTTAAGTAAAAATGTGGTGTGGGCCAGTGTGTTTATTATTATTATTATTTTTCTATTTTTCATGTTTCACTTCATTTTCTCTTATATTCGATTTCTTTTTCTTAATCTTTTTTTTCTGTTCATAGTCTTCTTACCTTTTAGTTCTTAATAACGGAGATACTGGCACACATCAAAACAATGTTGTGGTATATTTGTCATTGTCTCTATCTGTGAATTGCAAAAGAGTGGCCATGAGTTTATTAGCCCTCTCTTCTCATAAGGCTCAACCCCTTGGAAACGGGCGGTTGTAGATCGGCACATGCAAATCATAGATTTTGTGTAAGTTTATTTTTTATTAAATTAACTTGGTTACTATTTGACAAAACAGAGATTGTTGCTATTGTGTGTGTTGATCCATGACTTAAGAGTTTACATAAAAGACGATTTCAAACATTTTTTTTTTTATGAAATAAAGAGAGTTTGAGTTGAGTTTGAATGCGTGACGAGAGGATTACGAAAAGTGTGATCGGGCGAGGCGAATCGAAGTTGAGAGGGAGATATAAGTTAGTGGAGATAGAAAGAGAGAGAGTTATGTTTCGTATAATACTGTAGGGGCAAGAGAGAGAGGTGCGAGCACACATTCTTTCTCTCAGTTTTCAGAGCAAGAAATTTACTTCAGTCGTGTGGTCTAAAGTGTGCTTCTTCATTTTATTACACAAAATGTCTTCCGTTTTACGTTTTATAACTTAGCTAAGTAATACCTAAGGAGAGGGCGGAGCGGGACCGGGAGAGGTTCAGAATTCTCCTCCTCCGCGTTCTCCATGGCCATGTGAGGCTGTGAGGCCATGTGTCACTCTAATATCAGTATATTTCACATATAAAAAATCTTTACACAGTTTATGGGTCATACCCCTACCTCGGTACAATTAAGAAACTGTAGTCATAATTAAGAAAAACATAGTCATCAACACCAATCGTTTTAAATCGAAAAAAAAGGTTTATTTCGGTTTTAAACGGATAAGTTTAATTGGTTATAAACCGGCCTCACATCTCTGTACGAGGGAGGCCTTTACTATGCTGACACGCAACATTATCGTTTGCTCGGTACATTTGTAGAGCGATAGGTGAAGTTGATTTAGAACAAAAAAAAAAAAAAGATTAAGTCAAAACTTAAAGGAACATTGTGTTTTTTCGGCATTGGTATGTGTCATAATTCTGTCTCACACGCCTTAATAAACATCATCACGGATTTTGTGTTTCTATTGGTTTAAAAATTAAGATGACAATGGCAGGAGGCTCAATACAAGACCAGTTTCAAAATTAAATGGGATGGGACAGTCTTAGTTTTGTTACAAAAATAGAAACGAAGAATACTTACGAACGCAACTTTTTTAAACTGTGTGACAATTGACAGCTTGTGGCATTTTGTTTTTGTGTAAGTTGGTGAATTGGTGACAGTACGGCATAAGCCCCTTTAGGGGTATATATGTTCTGTGGTTCTGTGGGCATAAGTATTTGCGTGTTTAGTGTATTTTAGTTTAGTGTATTTTGGTGTTTTATGATTTTACGTAATATTTCACTAAAGCCAATTTAAATCAAAATGTCTGATAAAAAGTAGGAGTACAATATACCTATATTATATAATTTTGCCATGTGCAAATGTCATATTAATAACCCTGTCTTATTTTCAAGGTATGGTCTTATAGTACCAGATAAAGGGAAAGTAAAACCAGTTTTCCTAGCGTCCAGGAATGTTTTTGGAAATGATTCTGATTCCGAAGAAGAGTTAACCAAAAAGCCAATTTTGCTTCGGCCTAGTGGTAACACTTCTAGACAGGTAAATACTTAAAAAATCTCTCCACAATAACTACTGTTGGTTCTAGTGGGTTATACTCGTCCTTAAACATTATAAAACTTTGAGGGAAACTTGAGATTGTAAATTTTGTCATTGTATTTATAACTTTTATATTAATTTCTATTGTATAAATAAAAAATAAAAGTCAGACTGAAACTACTTAATGTTTTCATAGTTACCTCTTGATATGATAAATAATAAATGCTAATTCAATTCAGTACATCATTGTTAATTATATTCTTTGTATAAATTCTTTAAATTACCTGTCTATTGCTGTAAAAATTTAATTTTTTAACCTAATGGTTGGTTACTTAGTTCAATCATTTACTTTTTGGTCATTAATTTACAGTCAAAAATTAACCAAGAAAAGGCCATCTTGGAAGATCCAACAGTGTACCAATATGATGAGATATATGATGATATGACAAGTAAAAAAGAAAAGATAAAACTTAAGAATAAGGAAGAGAAAGCCCCACAATATATAGAGAATTTGATGAAGGCAGCTGATAAAAGAAAAATAGAAAATGAACGAAGAATTGAAAGACAAGTTTGTATACTCATTTGGAGATTTTTTTCTAAGATATATTTATAGAGTTAATGATAGTGTAATGTGGATAGTATATCTGTGTTTAAATTACTTCTGTCTATATGGAATAGATAGAATATCATAACAAAAATCAGGTATCACAGGATTTAAATAGCACACAAAATTGTGGTGAGCAGAATTACTTTGGGATACGGATGCATATTGTATGCAAGTGGACAGGTGATCAATGCCAATACAATAGATCCGTTATACAACACGACAAACTCAAACTCTGATGGGCCTGGTGGTCTAGTAGTTAGTGACTCTGACTGCTAAGCAGTAGGTCATGGGATTGATTCCCAACAAAATTTTGTTCTCTGTTTGGGTGTAATTTCCATTTAATATGTATGTGTTCACAAATATTTAAGTATGTTTGTCATCAGTCTGGTTACCAGAGCACAGGCTCTGCCTAGTTGGTATTTGGCCATACTGCAGACTATGTGATATGTGTGGAGTTATTATTCTTATCAGTTATATTAAGTGAAACATGCTTAGATTCTGCACAATATGAAAAATTACCCATAATTATAATAAAACATATTTTTAAAGAATAACCAGTATAGATAAGAATAGGAAAGTAAAATAAATTTAATAAGAGTAGAACTTAATGAATTGATTTTTTCTATATGCTTGTAACAATAGCTACATAATCGTTAAATAAAATTTCAGATACAAAAAGAAAGGGAGAAAGAAGGTGATGAATTTAAGGACAAGGAAGTATTTGTTACATCTGCATATAAAAAGAAGTTGGAGGAAATGCGTTTAGAAGAAGAAAAAGAAAAACGTGAAGAATATTTAGAAAATATTGGTGATGTCACTAAACAGAAGGATCTAGGTAGGAATTTTACAGTGTGGTAACAACTAAAGCAACTTCATAAATTTTGATTGTTTAAAAATTAGTATCTATCAAAGATACTATTTTTTCAATGCTTACCATTTGTTAATTAAAAAGAAACACTAATGGCTGAAAACGTTAATGGAAAAATATGTGAAAATGGCACATCAATGGTAATTACTGTAAAAAACTTTCCTACATCAGTATGTAGGAAAGTGTTTTAGGATACAAGTAATTATGTCGCTAATCAGTATTAGCAACATATTTACTTGTATCCCAATTATAGGTAAAAATAACTTAAAGTGAACTAAAATTTTGCTTTCTTTTATAGGAATATTGATAGTTATACAAAATATTTGAGGATTGTCTTTGTAATTGTAATGATAATAAGTGATAAATCACTTCAAGTGAACCAAATTAGAAATAATTTTTATTTTGTATTACTTTAATAGTGTATAATAAAACAGCTGGAATAATTCAATGTCCCAGTGATTAATTGCAAATATTTAAATTATTTTTAGGTGGTTTCTACCGTCACTTGTATGAACAGAAGTTAGGAAAAGATGAGAAGAATGACAAAAATGATGAAGCTGTCGGTTCTGCACCTAGCAAAGTGTCAGAAAGTAATGAAAAAAACCTTACTTTAAAAGCTACCGCTAGTCCACATGATGCTCAAAAGAAAAGAAATTATAGGAAGAGAAAGTCTTCAGATAGCAGACCTTGCTTATCTGATGGTGAGATTGAAGAGTCGGAAGAAGAAATTAATCGCTTTAACCTAGATGACATTAGAAAGGCTAAAAAGCATAAGCTAGATGAAAATATTGATGCTGACTCAGACTTTTCAATTGACGAATCAAGCAACGATGAAAATGACAAGAAGAATACTGAAGTTATTAATCAACTTACAATTAAACCTACTGAAAAGGAAGTGAATAAGCCTCTTCCGTCTAAAGATGATAATGAACCAAGTGCAATAATAAAAAATTCACAAGAAGTAAAGGATACAGATAAAATAGAAGAACCTAAACCAAAAGTAGATATATGGAAAAAGAGAACTGTTGGTCCAATTTTTGAAGAAGCCTTGAAGAGGTATTATGAAAGAAAAGCGGGAAGGGGTCATTAATGTTCATCGATGCATAACCTGTAATAGTTGTTAAGTAAAAATAAAACAAGCAAATGTATTTTAATAAATCTATTTTGAGTTAATAATTTAAACAACTACATAATGCGCCTTGCAGTGAACTGAAAAAGAAAACATTTACATGTGAATAAGTTGGCACTTTTTAAGTCAAGAATAATGACTATTCTTAAATATTATTGATTTGCAAAATCTTTTCAAAAAAAAAAAATATGGTCTCGTAAGATTTTGAACATTTTGCAATGAAAAAATATAAACGGAGTTTTAGATGCCCGTCCTACCGATAGTTTAAGGTCAAAATTCTACCCAATAGTTCGCCTTGGCTGCTATAGCTATGGTTGTATATTATACGGTAGCAAAGGAGGTTCCTTTTGCCGTTTCAAAAGTATCGTGTCGGAAGTGGCCGTATGCTTGTTTACACTTAATGGGAGCGATATTTTTATTATTTAATGTCCAATATATAAAAATGTTACGTTGCTTTGTGTGCGCTTCAAAAACTTCTGCACCAATTGAGTTCGAATAATTTACATGATTATAGAACACGATTCAGAGACGGTTATATCGATTTTTCCTCATTTCTCATCAATGCAACCACAATGTGCCACAGCAAAGCGTGTCAGGATACAATTAGGTAATTATAAAAGTATAACTGAATAATGATAAAATCTGGTAAAACATGAGTTGAGTTGATGTTAATTTACTAAGTTTGAAATAGTCCAAATAAAATAACTACAATAGACTTAACATATACGGTAAAAAGAGTAACTAAATAGAGGAATAAATTTAATTATATAGAATTACTTCATTTACCTATAAATTCAGAAACAGGATCGTTTTCACCCTCGGCTCTCATTGTACCTGTTATTTCTTCATTTTCGACCATAGGTAACACTAACTGAACAAACTCTGGAGTATATGGTGGCGCTATTGCATCTAAAACCTAATACAACATTGTGTTATTCCTTTGAATTATAAAAATATCTAAACATAGTGTGAATTTCATCTTCTGCAAATCTCTCAAATTGCTAGTTTTAGTATGAAATAAAAAGGTAATGGGATACCTTCCTCTCAATTATCTTAAAACCCAAGGGTCATAATAAAAAGTGCCTAACACATCAGCAACAGATTATGTGCTTTAATGAATGATTTAGTTACTCGCCGAGTACAGACGAATAGGCACGAATACGAGTATGTATCTAAACAGTTCGGTACTAATTATTTTCCTACTTATTCGGAAATTTTTCGGCGAGTACTTAAATGCAACATAAAAGATTGAGATAGATGCCAAGGAGAAAGCTGATCTCCTAGGCAAATTCTTTGCATCCAATTCGACTTTGGATGACGGGGGAAACGTACCGCCGACCATACCGCGGTGCCAAAGCTATATGCCGCATATCCGGTTTACACAAAAATCAGTGCGTAAAGCACTCTTTTCCCTCGACATTCATAAGTCGTGTGGGCTCGATGGAATTTCTCCTATCGTGTTGAAGACGTGTGCTCCGGAGTTGGCACCGGTTTTAAAGCGCCGTTTTCGTCTCTCCTACCCCCAAGGCGTCCTCCCGAACTCCTGGAACGTAGCGTTTGTGCACCCGATCCCTAAAAAAGTTGACCGCTCTGACCCGTCCAACTACAGGCTTATAGCCATAACTTCTTTGTTCTCTAAGATTATAGAATCCACAATCAACAGCCAGCTCCTCCGGTACTTGGATGGTCACCAGCTACTCAATGACCGACAATATGGTTTTCGCCGTGGTCGCTAAGCTGGTGATCTTCTTGTCTTTCTGACACACCGGTCCGCACAGGCGATCGAGACCAAAGGAGAGGCCTGTGTGGTTGGTTTGGACATAGCGAAGGCCTTTGATCAGGTCTGGCATAAGGCGCTTCTCTCGAAGCTCCCTTTCTTTGGGCTGCCCGAGAAATTGTGTAATTGGGTCACCAGCTTCCTTGCGGACATAAGCATTAAGGTCGTTGTCGACGGTGCATGCTCCGACTTGTAATTCGTAAATGCTGGTGTCCCACAAGACTGTGTGCTATCACCCACACTGTTTCTTCTGCATATCAATGACATATTGCAAACTAGTGGCATCCATTGCTATGCAGATGATAGCACAGGAGATGCCTTTTACACGTGTGCGTTACCCCAGCAAAATAATGTCGAAAATGGTCATTTAAACGTTATAGATATTTAGTTGCTCCCCTTCTGTAATTGTTAGGCACATTTTTAAATTTGTTTCTCTTAAACTTTTTTAGTTATTTCAAAAAAACATTTCCTGCTGGGGTAACGTTTGAAACGTTACCGCAGCCAGACATTTTCTTTTTTAATTGTAATATTGAAATAAATTTTAGCTAGATAATTAGTTATCTGGACTAGGTAAATGTTACAACTTATTTGGTATTTGTATTTTCTTCGGCTGCGAAGTTATTCGAAATCCTGCTGGAGTAACGTTTGTGGGTTTGCTGGATCTCTGAAACGGGTAAGCGGATTGTAACCATCTTTTGTACATAACTTCTTAAGGATTAGTTTTAATTTGTTCGACAATAAAATAACAAAAATAATGGACCGTTTAAAAATTATTTAGGTAAGTATGAAAACACTCCAATACGTCCTAACACTTTAAATAAGACCTCTAAAGACTTACTTCAAACGTTATTCTATTGCTTGTAACTACCTTCAAATGTATACGAATTTTCGTAAGAATACTATCAGTGACTAAAAAGTTATGATGAAATGTAGCTCTCCACGTTCACGATCATAATGTGTGCGGCCTTTTTTGGCCACCGATAAACCTGTGTGTGGATATATAAACTGAATGTTATGCCAATAATTAGTTGTTTAGTTCAGTTGTCTACCTGTAGAATTTCAGCGTCGTACATATAATAATTTACGAGATAATTAAATAAAAGTCATTAGAAGGTGCAAGTCCGTGGTAATCCGACCATGTTTAGGTGGTTACAAAAAAGCGATCACCCAGTCCATTGGGCTGTCTTTTAAAATGTTTAGTGTAATACACCTTACGATTTCGGTACAGTTGCGTACAGTGTTAAATACATTCAATATTTATTCATTATTATTACCTATTATTTATTTTGTTTTTTTCCCTAATTGATCTTAAGCACTAGTTTCTTTACTTAAAATTTCTTTAGTCATTTTACTACCGGAGCTACAATCAACAGAAAATCTGCACTGGTCCGCTAAAATTATAAATATGTAGATACATGTATGAACGATTCACCTGACTGCAATAAATCGAAAATTTAAACCAATAAGAAATCGTTTCATTTCTTTGATTTTTTTTTTGTAAAGAAATAACACTAAAGTAATTGTATTTTATTTTGGGGTGTATAGATCTTAGACTTGAATGCATCAAAATATTCAAAGCAACAAGTCATCTACAATAAGTTAAAATAGACCGAATAGTAGAAGAATACAGTTGTAAATTAGAATGCATCAACATTGCATCGCCCAACAGTCGTATACCTCGTAAGAGTAGGTAATATTGTTCTGTAGTCTATACCGAGAACCGAGAATTATCTATACCTATGTACCTACCGTTAAGCGTTGAGCCCGTGACTGTTGATTTCTGTTAAAAACGAACAGTTGTTGAATGATATTTTGATATAATAACGGTAATTTAATTTATCGAGTGAAAGTGATACATTTTTATAGATAAAATTATTGGTCAGATAATATTTGTCAATCAAGAATCGCTGATAATACATCCTTCGCTGGAACGCGGGAGGGGAGGGGCGAAGGGATACTTCATTGTTTGCAATTTGCATCTAGTGCACTAAACTTGACCCTTAGGCAGATAATATACGTGTTGTAAAGTACGTGTGCGCTTCCGCTTTCTATTTTTGCAAATATTTATCGTATTCTTGAGAGTTCTTCAATATGTGTGTACCTAATTACTAATAATGGGCATTAATGCTAATTCGATTCAATTTAAGTAATTGTCAATTCTTGTCTTAGGATATTAATTACTAATGCTGATATTGAAACTTTGTTCAGGGTGAACCAATTAGTACCAGGGACTTCCTTTCTAGGGTATACCTGGGTCCCCGGCTATTAGTACCCGAGACGGCGTGCGATTTTAGTCGGTTCGAGTCCGACATGCCACCGAAAGGTGGTATCCGAGGGGATTTCCGCACGGAAAAAAAAAAAGGGTGAACCAATTAAAAACGATCATAACTTGTAGGTAGGTATATCACTTATTACTAATTTTATATAAATAATTTATTTTATTAAAATTTAACTCACCGCGATTTTGTGATCAAATATTTTATTTTCTCCAACATTATTACAGAAATATTGCAATACAGAGTTTGTTCGCGATATGCTAGCCTAAGTCAATTCATCACTTAAAAAAATCCCCATCTATTCACAAAATACCTATTTACAACGCATACGTTACACTCTTCAAAACTTAAATTACCTATACCTACCCTAAAATTAAACTTCAATTAACAAATACTACGCAGGTACCAATTCTATGAACAACTATAAACAATTCACCTTAACATTACCAGAAAACAAAAGCATTCAAAACAATACCTAATCTCCCGGCTGATTACTAATTATGCAATAAACAATTCTAAATAAAAATTATTTAAAAAACATGTAGTTTTTTGTAACACTTATGTACATATCCGTAGTAAACTTGCAAATAATATCCTACATATTTTAAAAGCCAGCACAATGTACTGGGTGATCGCTTTTTTGTAACCACCTAAACATGGTCGGGTTACCACGGTCTTGCACCTTCTAATGACTTTTATTTAATTATCTAGTAAATTATTATATGTACTACGCTGAAATTTTACAGGTAGACAACTGAACTAAACAACTAATTATTGGCATAACATTCAGTTTATATATCCACACACAGGTTTATCGGTGGCCAAAAAAGGCCGCACACATTGTGATCGTGAACGTGGAGAGCTACATTTCATCATAACTTTTTAGTCACTGATAGTATTCTTACGAAAATTCGTATACATTTGAAGGTAGTTACAAGCAATAGAATAACGTTTGAAGTAAGTCTTTAGAGGTCTTATTTAAAGTGTTAGGACGTATTGGAGTGTTTTCATACTTACCTAAATAATTTTTAAACGGTCCATTATTTTTGTTATTTTATTGTCGAACAAATTAAAACTAATCCTTAAGAAGTTATGTACAAAAGATGGTTACAATCCGCTTACCCGTTTCAGAGATCCAGCAAACCCACAAACGTTACTCCAGCAGGATTTCGAATAACTTCGCAGCCGAAGAAAATACAAATACCAAATAAGTTGTAACATTTACCTAGTCCAGATAACTAATTATCTAGCTAAAATTTATTTCAATATTACAATTAAAAAAGAAAATGTCTGGCTGCGGTAACGTTTCAAACGTTACCCCAGCAGGAAATGTTTTTTTGAAATAACTAAAAAAGTTTAAGAGAAACAAATTTAAAAATGTGCCTAACAATTACAGAAGGGGAGCAACTAAATATCTATAACGTTTAAATGACCATTTTCGACATTATTTTGCTGGGGTAACGCACACTTTTACACCGGCCGCCCCAACATTTCTCGGGAAAACGTCATCGAGAGTCGAAACAAAGTTGTGTCTGAAATTGAAAATTCCTTAGCGGAGGTTTCAGATTGGGGCCGACTAAATCTAGTCCAGTTTAACCCAAAAAAGACACAGGTATGTGCGTTCACCGCAAAAAAGATACCATTTGTCGTATCACCTCAGTTTGAGAGCACCTCCCTAACTGCCTCAGCCAGCATCGGAATCCTAGGCATCGACATGTCGAGCGAAGTCCAGTTTCGGGGTCACTTAGAAGGTAAGGTCAAATTGGCCTCGAAGAAGCTCGGTGTACTGAACAGAGCGAGGCAGTATTTCACTCCGGGCCCATCGCCTTCAGCTCTATAGGGCGCAAGTCCGGCCGCATATGGAATACTGTTCTCATCTTTATGCAGGGGCACCTTAGTACCAGCTTCTCCCTCTGGACCGCATCCAACGAAGAGCGACTCGAATCGTCGATAGCCCACACATCTCCGATCGGCTCGATCCCTTGGCGTTACGTAGAGATGTGGCTTAACTCTGCATTCTCTATCGCATATATCATGGAGAGTGCTCCGAGGAATTGTTCGGACTAATACCAGCCGCAAATTACCGCCATCGTTCCACACAGCAAAATTTTCATCCTCATTACCTGGATAGTTGGCGCTCCACTACTGTGCGCTTTTCGTGATCGTCTGCGGTATTTCCGGACCGATACGACCTTCAAACCTTCAAGAAAAGAGCGTACAAGCGGCAACGCGTTTGTGACTCCTGAGTTGCAGACGTTCATGGACGATAGTCACTTTCCATCAGGTGACTCGTCTGCTCGTCTGCTCGTCTGCCCCCTTTAACATAAAAAAAAATGATATGAATCAAATTTCAGTCTGCCTAATTAATTTAATTTTACCTCTGTTATAAAATAACGTATCAGAGAAATGTCGGTGTCGCCGCGCTGCCAACATTGTTTAATATAGCGCAGTACTGGGACCACACAGCCTCGACTTAATAAGTTTACCATGCGATCAAGCAACATTTTTTTTAACTCCAACTGCAAATTAATAAAATTGATTTGAAAAAATGATAAAATAACTTTTAGGTCAAAAAAATAAAATAAAAATAAGTCGTACCTGTACCAAAATTTCCAATTCGTCTTGAGGAGATTCAAAAAGTTGTACTAACAGCCTCAGAAGGCGATGATGTAGTAATTGATGACAAGATGCAACTTCATCTAAAAGTGCTAAATGCACTGGACAATGCTCTGTGCATAACTTAAAGTATGAAGGTTCAGTTACAACACATTCTACCCAAACTAAAACACCCATGCCCACAACTGGAAACCTAAAACAATTGTAGTTACTATAATATAGTCTTTATAAATATCTTGATTTGAGATCTCTATCATGAATAACTCACCGTATACAATGATATAACGTTGGCAGCTCAGCAATAAGTTCACTGGAACTGGCAGAGCTACAACACACGGCATGTACTTTTTCAATAGCCTGCACTGTAGCTTTTAATTCGTCTTTGACGGGTCTGCCAGGTGAAAGCCCTTCACATACACTTGCAGCATATGCTAACAAATACATGTATTTTGATTTATGTTCAGGATTTAATTTACTTCCCAATTTGAAGAGAGCATCAACAAGAAGTTCTGAAAATAATTATTAGTCATTATTTATTTTTATTTTTTAATGCTTTTCGCAGAAACAACAATTCATTGTACAACGGCCATATTGCCACAGGCATTTTCTCTCAGTCTACTTTTGGGTGGTTGGGAAATGTCTGAGTAGGTGCACTAGAAATTAAGTTTTATGTGTAATGGATAATAATAATTAAGGATATGGACAGAAACAGTGTGACAGATATATATATATATATATATATATATATACTTGCTGAGTTACATACATACATATAATACACTATATAAATCTTTAGGGATGTGATGAATCTGCTAGTGTCGAGAATTCGAGCTAGGACCTTCGTCTTAAATGATAAGCGGCTGGGTGCTATCCTGATTTCCAAAGGCATAGCGTTCCAGAGGAGGACAGATTGAATTAGGAACGAAGAGTGGACACATGCGGAAGTATGAGTGGGGCATAACAGCAGCGGCGTGCACAGGATTATGACACTAGGTATGCGGCTGAGTAGTCGGTCACAAAACACTTTTTCTTTTATAGATTTTTAGCATAGCCAAAGCCACGCGACGGATCTCTCTCTCGGAGTCGGAAACCATGCCAACAGAACAAGTCTTAGATGTACTACTATTCATGTACATCTTCAACGGGAACGCAGACAAAACCGCGATAGATCGTCGCGGCGGAAGAAATTCTAATAAGTAAAATAATAAGCTAAAATATTATATTATAAATACGCACCTGGTCACACACATTTTCCACACATACCTCACAATCAAATAACATTTAAAAAAAATCAACGGAACTCAGTAATAAACTGTTAAATGTACACACTTTCAAATGTTAAAATGAAAAATAAAACTATAATTATACTGGCGGAAAGAAAATAGTAAACAATGCTTATCACATGAAAAAAGCAATATGGCCCCCGCGAAACACAAAAAATATCTGCTAATTAAACAAATAAAACCCTACCATATTCAAAATTCATAATCCGCACACATGATTTATTATATTTCTGTCTATTGTGTTTAGTCGATTTATAGGCAACGACATTTCCGATTACTCCCGACAATTGCCGAACTTTAGTAGCCTGCGGCTGGAGCCGGGGAAATAAAATATATGGGTGTGTGCGTTTGCGAACTGTGCACGGACACCAAAATTACTGCACACATGCGAACAAATTTCCTGCGGCATGTTTCAGCATGAGTTGGTTGGTAGGTACAGCGCCGCTTGCTTTTTGGTAAACGCCTGGCAAACATAATGTTTGTGTGCTTTCAAATGACAAATAGGTGCTATTTATAAAATAGTAGGCGTTTTTAAGTTATTATATTTTGTTTATTCATTTATTTACTATTAATTAAAGTCATTTAAAACGTGCGAACGTTTTATTAAAATGTCTGTGAATAGCAAGTAAAGCACTGCATTTCTGCCTACAAGGAGCGCACGCCCCTGCATAACAGAAGTGGATTGCTTGAGGAAAGGAGGGTTCTGTTGTGATTGGAACATAGAAATTGAAATGAGGATGTCAGGTAGGAAGGGGAAATAGGTGAGTTGAGTATGGTATAGAGGGTGGCGAGGGCGTGCAGCTGACGGCGCTGACGAATCGTGAGCAAGTTCAATTCGCGACGAGCGGAGGAAACATGGTCGTATTCGCGAAGGTTAAAGACGAATCAAATGCAGTTATTCAGAAGGCGGTCATATTTATTGATGAGACCTACATTTAGGTCATAATAGCATACATCACCATAATCCAACATAGGGACAATAACGGTCTGTACTAGGATCGCTTTTGTCTCGGAAGGAAGAAAGTTTTTAAGCCGATAGAAGGCCCGTAGCGTACCTGTGACTCTCTGGCTGACGCTCGTAACCTGGGTTTTTCAGCTGAGTTTGGAGTCGATAAATAGGCCTAATGTTTTTAAATATTCTACTAGAAGAACGAGTCCTTTCTAAATAATGTTATTTGCGTAGCTATTTTTATCTACAGTTTCCAGATAGGATTATCTAGTTTACACGTGAAGTGTTTTCTTAATTTGAGAAATGGAAGTAATATTTTTTTTTATGTTACAATGATATTGATGGTGAGAGAATCAAATACATTATAAAATAAAACTTTGACATCATAGTCAGCTATCGTCAAATCATTTAATTTTAAAGTTGTTGCTATGAAATTTATAATTACATTGTGATGTTAATGTCTTTTTTTAAATTGTTCCGTTCAGATGAGTACGTGCCTCATCCTATCATTATCTTGCGGTCATCAGCGTAATGCACGGCCGGCGTTATCCGGTCGGTTTAATCACTCGGATTGATAATATGACGATAATAATAACAATTAATATGAAAAATCAAGAAGAATGCCAAGGAATATCCATCAATTTGCTTCCATGCAAGTTTCTGTACTAAAAACCTTAGCTATTCTAAGAAAATGTATTGTTTACCTAAAAACTGAGGTATTCTTAAAAGATGTACTGGAGGTGGTTCGGTTTGCGTGTAAGCCCGAAATAATACCGAAATATCAGCTGGGTTTAATGCACCACGAGACAACATAGCGGCCAATGCTGTACGAGCATTGCGCCATGATTCACCAGCTGTCAACGCCAAGGTTATTGGTGTCACATCATGACCACTGAAACAATAAGGAATCCTGCAGTTTTGGAATACCTCAAAGTTGGAGAACGGTTAGACTAACAACGCCATAGTTACCCAGCCAATGAATGGAGAAATAATCAATAGTATTATCACGTCAAAATGTAACACATGCATAACTGCCTTTTTTTTTAAAGGTTTTCTATCAACCCAAAATCACTAGTATTCCCGTTAGCCCCTCCAGCTACGCTTAATTGCTTGCGTTAGGAGTGCATTCATGGTTGGTAGTGTACTAGTCAGGATTCGAACCCACGGTCAATGTAAGTACAATGCCTTAACCAATAGGCTACCGCCGTTTGATGATATACTTTATGATTATATATTTGTGTTTGGATAGCCTTTTCCAATTTATTAAAAATTGCCGGAAGTTTTAGTTGTTAGACACACCTTTGCTGTGCACATCGCGTTATTTCTTGACCAAGTCTTTTCATAATTGCTCCTCCTCTGGGCTCTTGTGAAAGAATATGCACGATAACTTGGCTGTATACATACGTATGAGCGCCATGACAGACCATTTTCTGAAATATAAATTTTTATTTTTATTTCTGTTAATAGTCTAGTAAATATGGGTACTATATGCTAACTTCTGCTAACTTACCGCACATTCATTGACACTATTTTGCCAGTCATCGGAACTTTGTAAGAACCCAACAATAGCTGATTTAAGAACTCTTGAGAAAACTTCAATTTGCTGAGCTGCAGTAGATATGCTAGTAATTTCTCCTTGGAAACCAGCATCTGATATCAACTAGAAATATAGTTTATTAAGCATTATTTTAGTAGGGATTTTTGAACATTTTTAGCACTGACATCACGTTAATCGGTTAATGACGTATTGGATTAGTTTACATTTACGAAAATGTGGTAAAAGGATTTTAAACCATCAGATTTAGTCATTTAATTACAGCGTGAATTTGTGGGTTCACTGGGTATATTAATTTCAACACCCTTAGTACAACTATAAGTTATAACTTAAAATCAACTAATATTTTAATTACTGTCTGGTTTTTCTTAGTAAATAAAACAGGTACTTAAGCATGTTATCTCGCAGCAATGATAAAATATTTATCTTTCTGTAAAGTTTTTGCAACTTTATTCAAACTTAGATTAAAAGTAATTACACACATTGCATCATCCCAAAAAGTGGCTAATAGAGAATAAGTTTATAAACTACTGAGAAACTATAATAGGGATAAGAAAAATTATTGGGAGACTCAATACAATAATGTAAAAGAAAGACATTTTTTGTATCAATTTTTTCTAGTTTAGATAATAAGTAATTGGCACTTACCTTTATGGTAAAGTTTAACATAAGACAATCTGGATACTCTTCAGCTAATCTATATATCAATGATCTCCATGTTGGATGTTCTATCATCTCTGTCAACCAAGCAGGAGTCTACAAAAAAAGTAAGTTTAATTATTTGAATATGATAGGTTTTGCCCTACCTTGTTCTTGTATATACTCACTTCACCTTCCTCTGTGAAAATAGTATCTGCTTTTTTTGGATCAAATGTTTTCAGAATCATATCCTTTAAATGATTTTCAACCATTGCTTGGACCTCTGTTACCTTCACACCTGTGAGAACATGGTTATTATTAAGAAACAATGTTGTCATTGATATACACAATATTATAAAGTATTAAACTTAAGTAATTGTCATAACAGGGATTTTTCTATTACTTCCACCACCATTTGGTAAAGAAACACTAGTATCAGAATGTTCTATAGCAGTTATTAAATATTATGAATAGGTATCAACCATGCTCCACTAGCCTTGCACTAATGCACTTATGACCATTATTATCAATAATAACTGATTTTGAGTACTCTCAAAAACATACAACAGAATTATGTTATTTTTAGTAACTACTGTTTTTTTAACTATAAATAGAATGATGATGTTACATGTGGCTTTTAAGTAGTTAAATATAGCAGTGGGTTACATAAAAAAGTCTTACCTCCTAATATGAGCCACTCTGCCAATAAATTTGCCATTTGTGCAACAGCATTATAGTTGATGGATAGTTGCTCAATCACTTGCTCTGGATTGCCACCAGCTTGAAAGTATCGTTTTAGTTGTCCAAATATTCCTGGCTCCATAATGTAGTCTGGTGTTTTGAATTTTTCCAGACATTCATGCAATACTTCCTCAGGGTTTTCAATAACATCTTCATTGCCTTCTTCCTACATAAACCATTTAGAGGTATTAGCTTAATTTTATTTGTGTCAATTTTTACTCATAGCACAGAATTATTAGTACTAGTACTATCACATACCAGTAATGATCTTTTTTCCCATCTTACATAATCTCTTTGTATTTTTTGTACAATAAATTATAATATTGTTCTATTCTATTTTATATTTAGCTTAAATAGGTTTTAAAAATTTATTGGATAAATAACATTTACAAAATTTTTAATAAATCTGTAATGAGTCCACCCACACCATTACTTGAACAATTTATGAAATTAACCTGAGAAAAATAACACAGATCCAGCAGGCATCAGGCCAGGAGATATTTTTTGTTGCTAAAGTTTTTTTTTCTATGCCAACTTAGGTACCATACTCTTATTTGAAATAGGTGTTTGTGTGGTAAGAAGTATAATGATTATTGCAAGGCAACTTGCAAGGCCTATGTTCATCTTGTATATAAGTTTGTGAAATTGTGAACTACTGCATAACAATAATTTTCTTTATACAATCAGACCAAAGACAGGATAAATACTTTTACCAAAGTGTGTTTTATAGTCTACTCCAGTTTTTTTCAATATCTATGTCATTTTATGCCATAATCTGCAGATATTCATGTTTTCATACATTTTATTGCTTTTATTATCTCATTCTAACTTATTTTATTCTTTCCAACTTTTATTGCCTCACTCAAATTATTCTCATCATTCTCAAATTATTTTTGAAAGTACTTCTTCCACTGGTAAAGTATCTTATATTCTTCATTCAAAAGTCCCTTTTTTATCTCGAACTATATTTAACATAGTTTTAGAGGTTTTTTGACACATAGCTGTTATATTAGTTTACAGAATGTGATAACGTAAGGAGTTGCACACCTCCGTAGCCACTATCTATGCCTGTCTACAAGCAATATTATATGTGTCATAAAGTAAAAACAACTGACTATTAAATTGTACATGTCATAGGTGTTTAAATAAAATATCCATATCAAATGTGTTTCGATATCATCGTTTTTTGCGTTTTACAGAATAACTTAATAGCTTGCACGGAATCTTTTTTGTGATCTTCTCTTCTTTCTTCTGTGTAATTTTTATATTATTACTATTTAATGTGTTAAGACTCATTAAACAATCAAGTATTGCAAAAAATAATTATGTTATTTACTAAATGACAAGGCTGTGTTTTTTATTATTTATCACACAGGTCAACTAATTCAGTTTACAATTACTTCAATAATAAATAAAAAATAAGAAAGACATCTTCCTATACATTTCCATTTAAGTGACTTTTAAGATGAAAGTAAAGTTTCCCTGTTTGGCAAAAAAAAGAAAAAGAAAGAAGTGAATTTATTTTTAGTCTGGATGTGGTTATCTTTCTAAGATTAAACAATCTTATTAATTATATATTTTTCTTACCTCATATTGGTTGTGATTGGGCGCTTCCCAAGTACGCTCTTCTTCGTATTGACTGGGCATGTTTATTATCTTCACGATGATGACAATTAAAAGAACTCTGCTTGATTATATAAATAACGTTGCGAACTGCAGTTTATGAAACCAGTATGTTATTATTTTATCTTATTACACTTGGCCACCACTTGGCGACGTAAATATTTACCACAGATAACTTTAAAATAAGTCAATCAGTCAAATTATTTTAAAAGGTGCATTTTGACACTGGTTGTTTAGCAGCACGTTTAGCAACCCGAATGAGAAAATAGGCGATTCAGATTCAAACGAATTTAGGATGTCATACTTGTGGGTATTTATTATGCCGTATTTCATAACCATGGCTAAAATACAAACACAAAATCTATTTAGGGAATCTCTGAAAAAACTGTCAAAATACACACCTTTTAAAAAAAAATTAAGCCCTTCTGTCAGATGTGACACATGGAAATTATTTTGTAGAATTAATGAGTGTATAAGGATAGTAAGCTATCCTTATACACTCATTATTTCATAAGTGAAAGGAAATAATAAAAGCAGTACAGTAAAAAAAAATATAACATTCAAATTCTTTTATTGATTTGATTCTGATTCTGTTTTCTTGGGTGATGATTTAAGTAAATAAAAATTCGAATTCAAAATACTTTTCAAATTCGTTGCATTTCAACCGTAGGCTGGGATCTAATCTATGAACAAGATTGAATGGAAGTTTGGACATGCCGCTGATGTTTCACGATTTCAGATCGCTTACCTTCCAGTTGATCGGTGGCGACGTTCATGAGTTAAAAGCTACGTCCTTTGTTCCAATGAAGTTTCACTCCATCCGGTGAAATTAAGCGTGTCAGAGTTTGGTGGCATTCGAAACCGAAGGAGTGAAACCACGGACACGAAATCCGGTGTTTAGCAAATTCTTTCGACTCAGTTTCACTTTCCTACTGTTTAATGTTTTGCGGGTTCCAAGACAGTTCAACTTTTCCTGGAACTGCCCGAGTGTCGGTTGATAAGAGTTGATCGGAATTTGGTTGCTATTTCAGACGATGTCACCAGTATGAATATGAGGATATTCTCGGGATGCCGGTAATTATTGTAAGGCATAAAAATTTAATATTTTTTAAAATGTGTGGAAATTGCGTTTGTTTAAGGAATATATGTATTCATTATGTATACAAATGAATATCCTTAAAATTGCAACAGAAAATAATATAATAGAATTTGTTTCTTTTAACAATAGATTAATGTTCAGAATATATATTATTCACAAATTTTCAATAGATCAGAATATATAATCAGAATATATAATATATATTATCCGTGTGGTGACGGATTAAGAATACAGAGTGTCACCACCCCTATTCATCCCGTGGGTGTCGTAAGAGGCGACTAAGGGAGCGAAATACGCAGGACACCAGCACTGCAGAGAGAACGAAAACTTGACACAAACCCTATACCAACCCGTCTGGCCAGCGTGGTACAGTAGGCCAAAACCTCCTTTCTAAGGAGAGGCCTATGTCCAGCAGTGGACTGTTAAAGGCTGTTGATGATGATGATGATGATGATGATATATCATATATATTTGCATCCATAAATAAATAAATAATCCAATAAGTCTCATTGAAAAAGAAGAAAATCACGTTCTATACGGATGAGAGAGTAGATATTTGCCGTTTCGCTCACACAGTGCGGCACCATTCGCCGGTCCGCGAGTATGAGAGAAATGGCGAGCGTTACTTCCCCAAGCAGGGGAAAGAAACAGCGGCTATGCGCGTCTTCAAAGAAGTGCAACCGGTGCAACAACAACAACTATCTTTTATCTCTTTCTATTTCTCGGTGAGGCTTATATCGGGTGCTTTTCGTGTCATTCGCTTATTTCTGTTTGTCGAATGCTCTTTGTATCTTTGAGTTTTGTGCGATCGATTTATTTATTTGACCTGGCTAGACCCGAGAGGCGGTGCTATTAGCGGGATACAGGGCCCGCCGCGAGTTACTGGAGACACTGGAGCAGGATCCTTGGGGACGCCCCTACCGTATGGTTAGGGTCAAGATGCGCCCATGGGCCCCGCCGCTGACCCGCTGTCTTCAGCCAGAACTGCTTGAAGGGGTTGTCGGCTCCCTGCTCCCATCGCAAGTGGTGGCACACACCCCACCACAGATGGCTCCACCTTCGGCGCTCGAGGCGCCTAACGTGGATGACGACTAAGTGCCTGAGGTCACTTGGGCAGAACTAAAGGTGGCGGTGCTACGGCTTAAAGCCAAAAACACCGCCCCAGGTTCCGATGGCATTCCAGGCGGAGCGTGGATCCTGGCCTTAGATGACATAGCTCTCGAGCCCCGACTGAGAGGGTTCTTCAGCTCATGCCTCGAGCAGGGCCAGTTGTCGAAATTGCGGAAGATACTGGTTCTCATCCGAAAGGAGGGGCGCCCGGCGGATTCACCATCCGCCTACCGGCCCATAGTGTTGCTTGACGAGGTGTGCAAACTCTTCGAAAGAGTGATTGCAAGGCGCTTTGTCAAGCATCTCGTCATAGTGGAACCGGATCTTGCGGACATCCAGTACGGTTTCCGTCAGGGGCGCTCCACCGTGGATGCGATCATGCGCGTGAGGGCTCTGGTAGAGGATGCGGTTTCCCAGGGCGAAGTGATGTTGGCGGTGCCCTTCGACATCGCCAATGCGTTCAACACTTTGCCCTGGAGTTGCATCAGAGAGGTGCTCGTGTATCAAGAAGTGCCTCTCTACCTCCGCCGCATAGTCGGGGCATATTTATCAGAAAGAGCCGTCGTTTACCCAAGTAGGACCGGTCTCGGTAGACGTGAAATGTCGTGCAGTGTCCCACGGTGCGGTGTTGGTATTAGGGGCACTCTTATGGAACATCGGCCACGACTGGGTGCTTCGTGGTGCCTTTCTGGATGGTGTCACCGTCACGTGCTACGCGGACAACACGCTCGTGCCGTGCGTGCGTGCGGCAGAACGTGAATCGTGAGGCAACCCTGAGAGCCACGGCCGGGGTTGCAAGTCGTGGAGCGGATCCGCCGGCTGGGTCTTGAAGTGGCACTACAGAAATCCGAGGCCTTGTTCTTTCACGGGCCTCTGAGGAAGCCACCTGAGGGATCCAGCCTTATAGTAGGTGGCATCGGCATCGAGACCTCGATGAGGAATCTGGGGCTCGAATTTGATGGTCGATGGGATTTTTGGACACTATTTCCGAGGTCTGGTTCCCAAATTGGTTGGATCAGCGCGTGCATTGGCGTGGCTGCTGCCCAACATGACCCGACGACTCCCGCAGGAGACTCTACTCGGGGGTTGTGCGGTCCATGACCTATTTATGGGGCCCCAGGATGGGCGGAGACCCTGAAGGCCAGCAACGTCGCACTACTGCGACGACCGCAGCGAGTGCTGGCCATCAGGGTCATAAGGGGGTACCGCACAATCTCCTTTTAAGGCGGCGGGGAAAGGATGCTTCGGAGATCACCGGTGTCTGATCCGCAATGAGCCAGCGCCCGAGTGCCACCACTGCGATGGCCGGACCGTGGACACAGTGCTCCATACGCTGGCAGAATGCCCGGCGTGGGTGGAGCAGAGGCGTTGCCTCGTGGCGGCCATCGGATTGGGAATTCGCTCGCTCGGTTTCGGGAGCACAAAGGGGACATAGGGGTCCGACACAAGAGGGTAACACCGGTAGGTGATATCCGAGGGGATTTCCGCACAGGAAAAAAAAAGCTAATTCCTAGGCTACAAATTCTACCCTGGTCTCTAAAAGTCTTGTACTCTATTCAAATCAGTACTTACTACGTTTACTTACAGCATATCGCATGTTTCTTTTTGATTTTAAATCTACATCATTCCACACTTGATTTGGATAAACGGGCTACGATTTTCAACTAATTTGAAATCTGACAGCGTATTATTGATTGGGTAAGTAAAGATTCTTATTTTTGCGATGAGCTGGTACATCGGAAATGTTTTGTTTCTGAACCTTTAAATGTTTGTATATTTATTAGGGTCAAATATTTAAACTTATTTTTTTTAACAGACTACACAAGCAACGACCGATTGAGTTGAATGCATTGTTTGCTAAATGACGACTTGGCTATGACGGCAGATTTGACGACTGTCCACTCATCAAGGTTCGTAATTATTAGTAAGTACGTTGAAGGAGCATATTGTTGTACTTTGTTGTATTCGTCAAGTTTCGTATTAATTAATAACTACATTGAAAGAGCATATCGCTGTACTTTATTGTATTCGCCAAGTTTCGTATTAATTAATAACTATGTTGAAGGAATATCTTGCTGTACTTTATTATATTCGTCAAGTTTAGTATTCAATTAATACCTACATTAACGTGTCAAAACAGCCATCATAACGTGCTGCTACTTTTAGTAATTTTAGATATCTCAAAGTTTTAATCGGAAGTTTACCTACTACACAATACTTTGTCAAAAGTCAAACCCGATTTCATACCAAACTAAATATGTTCTGATCCAAACCGATTTATCCTACATTTTGAATGTGAAAATATACCATTGTAGCTTAGAAAATCTAGTTAATAAACTGGTTTGGCTTAAACAGACTAGTTTAGCCTGATATTGGGTTTGCCCAGCAACATTATATTGTTTATTGTTGGTTTTTGCAAAATTGTTGACATGGACCTGTTATACTACTTGTTGCTTTTTTTTATAAAAAATAAACTTTAAGTACCTATTAAATAATTGATTTATTTACTTATTAAAAAATCCTGACATATAGTTTTATTGACGTTGTATAGAAGCACAAGAATCATTATCATTCAGAATTCTAATTCCCGCAAAACTTTGGTCAAAGTACCGCTTCCCGGAATTTTTTCACTTACCATCAGGTGACCCGTCTTCTCTGATAAGCGCATATTATGTATAATGTACTCATTAGTCCCTTTCAATGGCTTGATTGACTTGATTGAAGTAGTGAGGTTTGTTAATTATTGTAATTTAGAGCTCCTGAGAACAGTTTATTACCGCCAAATACTCAAGGTTTTTAAGCTTATTTTAGCATTTTATATTTTAGCACCGCAAAGTGTGCGTTATTGAGGCTTAATAATGCCAATGAAAAATTACTTTATAATTAGTTCTTTGTTGAAAAAGCATCACATTAAATAAGATAATCTACGTGTAGTCCATTTCCGTTAAGAAAGTAGTGGCGTATCGGTGCATTTGTACAGCAACTTATAATTTTATAGGTTTAGGTTTATCGACCTGAATGTAAATGTTGGTATTAAATAAATTGATAGTACCTATAATTATATCTGTTGACCATCCGTGGATGTAAACAAAAGTTAAAAAGGCTTTATTTTCCTTTGAATGAATTTTTACATAATATCTCAACCGTTAATAGTCGAACTCTTTATTCACAGGTAATTTTAATTTGTTAGTTTCCTTGTGTTACTTTTAATTTTACCGCATGGGGTACGAATACATATTTATTTTTTTCAATATTACTAATTTACGTTGTAAGGATAGTTAGAATTTATATAGTAGGTTCAGCTACTAGAAATGTTTTTTTTTTAATTTTTACATAAACAATAATATATTTTAATATGACAAAGGAGGCAAACGGGCGTACGTTTCACCGGATGTTAAAGAAGTAATAAAAAGTCTTGGCACCATCTTCTCATCTGAACGTCTCAGTTAAAATACTAAATAATTACTGGCTGTTTAAAAATAACTAAATACATAAAAAGTCCAGAACACTGCATCAAAGAGATCCTGTACACAACCGACACCGTGCACCGGATTAATCCGATTCTTCAACTTGTACATTGCATGTACAAATTTATATTTTTGAGGGTGAAACATCATCATTCCTACTGGCAAATATTATTTGATGCGTGGTTGAAGAACTGATATTTAGCCAACACTTATGTAAATATGCTTAAAAACTAATACTAAGAGGATAATAAGTTTTTAATTAGGCAACGGAGGATAGGAAAAATGTAGTAAAAGTCAAATATATTCTGTGATGAATTTATTCGTGCTGACTTACTACTTGTGGCAATTATTTTTCAAAACGTTTCAATGGATTTGATCAATGTTAATTAGACAAGCAAGGGGTTTGTACCAGGGTTGTTGAGGTTGAGGTTTTTACTGTATCAGCGGATGTTGATGCAATTTTTTTCAGATCAATATTAGCGGATGCTGATATTAATAAGTTACTTAAATAAAACATATCCTAGTATGAAATGATTAGCAAGTGTGACAGTGATGGGAGCCGCGGGCAAAGCCAGTTTTTTTTTTCTTTTGTTAACAAAATAGCATGGCCTACTATACAGGTATAGTAGGCTATGCTTATGTCCAGCAGTGGACTACTTAAAAGCTGTTGACGATGATGTATAGTATAAGCATACACATGTTTTTTTTTGTAACAATCATTTATAATAATAACCATAGTTATCATCGTTAAAGTTATCTCCGTGTAGTGACAATTAAGAATACGGAATGCCACTACCCCAATTCATCCCGTGGGTGTCGTAAGAGCCGACTAAGGGCGCAAAACAACGCAGGACACCAGCACGACCTAAAGAAGGAAAACTTGACACAAACCCTATACCAACCCGTCTAGTCAGCGTGGTAAAGTAGGCTAAAACCTCCTTTCTACAGCAGTGGTCTAAAGGCTGTTGATGTGATGTGATGATTATCGTTATCGTTTTTATTTACAGAGAAGAAAATTATCAGTAGCATTTTTAAGTTTGTCTATTAAGACTATAATAATTAATCAATAAATTGCACGCTCGTCACCTTTTATTTTCTTATCATCAGCTCATTAAAATCAGCATTGATTGTTGCGGATGCTGATATCAAAAACAATGCTGATTATCCGCCGATGCTGATACTCGCAACAACCCTGGTTTGTACGTGCTTTAATGGCAAGATATGTTTGGGATCCCAAGTTATTGTAGACCATATGGCTAAACTCGTTGTATGGTATAATTAGGTACATCATATTTTGCCCATAAGTAGAAGTTATTTTGATCTATATACAGTGTAAATTGACTTAGGTAAGTAAGTATTTCGTAAACATATCACAATTCATAGATCTAACAGTTAGGCAATAGTAGGTCCCATGGTATAATTTATTATTTATTGAACTGATGAACATTTTGGTGCAAAATAAAAATGTTACTGATGTTTTAACTCACAAAGTAAGTAATTGTATGCGAAAGTTTATGACATGACAATTTTTGATTTCGATTATTTCTTACACATATATATTTTCTCAAATATATGTTATATACCGATTTTTAAAATCTTATTACTTTAGTATGATTTTCAGGCATTAGTTTACCCTGCTTTTATCAAGAAACATTTCTAAAATTTTAAAATTGGTTCTAGAATAGGCTTTACTAGTAAAGTTAAATGAAAAGATAATGATTGGTTCCAAGCTGATCTGGTAGCTCACTTAATAAATAGATTAAGTAATACTGACGTCTGAATAACAGTTTATATTATCACTTACAATATTGTTCGGGCTGATGGAAAAACTGAACATCTATCACAGTTTCAAGTAAACAATTATTTTTTTAAAGTTACCCAGTCGCATAGAAATTATTAATGTTCTACATTATTTTTAACTGATAGTAGTCCTGATTTTTTTCACTTATAAAATTACTAATTAATGGGTAAAAAGTTTTAGCTCTTAGGCATTTAAAATTATCTAGCCTATCTATGTTTATCTCAGGATTAACGATTTTATAGGTATTCATTCGCTGCAAGTAACGTTTTACTATGTAACTATATTGTTCTATAATTATTATTATTGAACAACTTATTATAAAATATTTACAACTTAACAATTTTAGGTACATTTTTATAAAGTAAAGACTCTATTCATACGTAAATCTCATCTTTTAAAGCAATATTAATTTAATTAAGAATGTAAGCGTAATAATAACTAATAGGTAAGAACTCGTTGTTAGAGTATTTGGTCTTTATACATAACGAGTAGAAGTGACGTCACAACACCGACTCGTTGTATTATCTGGAGTTACAAAGACACAAATTAAAACTACCTACTCGTTTCACCTAAACTATGATTGCTCATTTCACATTACAAGCACCTATATAAAAGGAAATTTTGTGAATGGACAGCGTTTAGTGTCAAGTTATGTATTGTGCGAATGCGTCGTATTTACATTTGACCGATGATGAAATTTATAATTTTTATGGAAAGCCCATCGAGTCCCATGAAACACAGTTGTGCGTCATATGAAGAAAGTCTATGGCTCTCAGACGTCAGGTCGTAAGAGATGAAGATCGACAGCAACGTCGCGCCGCTGGTTCCTCATAAGGCGAGGTTGGTGCGCCGCCTGTGCTGCATCACCCAAGAGTGCCGCGTCTTCTGCCAGTGAATCGCCGGAGCCATAACCACGTTCTTCAACAGCATCACCTTCACACCAAGACGCTGAACCTGAACTCCCGGATCGCGTGCCTCCTGCGTCTGCTTCTGTTTCGACCTCCACGGAACAACTGGCGCAAACTTCTGTAATCATGTCTGCATTTAAATTTTTTTTGACAATATCTGTAATTTTAAATTCAAAACAACTTACGTAAAATTAATCTTTGGGGGTATACATATAAAAGGGTCCAAAAATTATTCATCTAATTTTACTGTATCGTTGGAGTTAAATAATATTGAATTGTATCAAGTTTAAATCAATCTCGATACAATATTTGCACTTAATAATTTCATTAACAAGATTGTAAGTGGTAAAAAGTAGTGCTCTACTAAAATGAAAGTGTGTTTGATTATAATTATAATGCAGTATCATTCCAAATTGATTAATAGTGTGAATGCCATTGTTGCAGTAATAAGCAGGTGTATGGTTTTTGTAAATTAATTGCATTGTAAATATTATTTAAATAAACTACGAGACTATGGCGTAGATAAAATTATTTGAAAGTGTGTGAAAATTATATATATTATTGTTCTTTAGTATCTAGTCCTAAAAGTTTAGAACTTTTGCTCTTTTAAATACGAGTAGATACGAAAGTACCTAATTTATCCGTGACCTCTGTAAGAGTATTAGGGAATAAGGCATTTAATGTTACATCTCGAAACAGAGGACCTTATTTCGAGAAATGACATTTTTTAAATATATTCAGGGATATTTAACACATTTATAATATGTGTATTAACTAAGAGGATCGAGTCGAGTTTGAAAGACTGGAGTCTGCTATAGGTCATGATGAGTCTGTCCCGGTTGCCCTTCGTTTGATATTTTAGCAATATATAGACGATTTTCTTTGTCATTATTGTACTTGGCTTATCTATAAATTGTGGTACCTAAGTACTCTACATTAAATATAATATTTGTTGAATGTTTTGCGGCAGTTTCTTAACCTGTTAATAAAACACCTAAACACCCATTATATGTATAGAATTATGAATATGGCATAGTAATATATATTTTTTAGTAGACATGACATACATACTATAAATGTATCGATATACAGTAAAACTACAACACATACACATGCTGAAAATGATGAGAGGTGTTTTGAAAACTTATTTTTACTTTTAAAAATCACCATTTTTAATGGATTTTGGAAAACGGTTGAAATCTCCATTTGATATTGACTTAAATAATAATTCCTTAAATAGTATTCAAAGCGACCAATTAAGTGTTAAAATTATAGAACCGAACATCTTAAGATTATTTCGCTTTAAAGTACAAGAACCTAATTGGCTAACCTTCTTCGGTCATATCTGACGGTGAATAACAATGTCAAAGAGTTTTATATATCTGATATGAATCACGTTATATTAATTAATATAATATTACATTAATAATATAGATCATGTTCACAATCTTGTAATTCGTAAAATAACAATGGTTGTTTTAAAACAGAGCAATCCTGCCTGCCGAATAAACAAATACTCTATTAGGCGTATCCCAAGCCTCCAATTACTTTTGTTCTCGAAAACTTAAAATCTCATACATTGTATGCCATCGCCTCTAAGAAAAATATAAAAACAAATCAATATATTGTTTTATGTCCTACCGCCTCCAACAGTTGACAAAGTAACTTTAGCAGCAAAAATGATGTTTTCTGTCATATTCTGAAATACAGAGTTAATTTAAAAAGTATTAATAAACTTTTAGGGTTATATTGTTGATGGCATAAACAACTACTTTGTTTTATGACTTCTCCAAATTCGTTAGTTTTTTAAATTTATTTTTATTTTGATTATTTAGTCATCTATATTCGCAAACAAGCATAATATGTCTCGTTTGGTGGCAAGTGGCAACTCTACTGCACTGTCGTATTGCCAACCCTAAAACAATAACTCCAACGTGATTTTTACATGTTTTACATTTTGAGGTTTTTTTACCTACCTTACATTACATTACACCCTACCTTACATTTTTAGAGGCAGTGGTACATAATTTAATATTGAAATAAATTTTATAGACACTGGTACAAAATTTTTGCATGCATGTGATAGATCCACTCTATTTACCTATGAATTTCAACAAAAAAAATCATGATCTACTTTGTCATTTTAAGGCGACTAAGGCATCATGAGGGTCTTTGGTTATCTATGAAACAAGTAATTATCTATTTCAGGGATTCGAAATGTAGTCGATATCGACCCCTTGGGGTTGAAATTGGTTTCCCAGGGGTCGACATGAACGAAAACTGATTATGGGGTCGAACACGAGATCTTATTTGAAACTTTCAAGATACTGTATAAGTTGTGTTACGTGTACCAACTTGTTATTAGACTGACTATTATGTCTATTTATTTGGTTAAATTTTGATAAGAAAATGATGTCAAGTTTACTCACTTGACCAGTGAGGTATCAGTTTATTTTGGAAAAGGGGTCACTTGCACAAAATAGTTTCGGAACCCCTGATCTGTTTTAATATGGGATTGATTTGTGGATTCCTGGCTAGGAGGCTCGTTGCTTTTAAGGAAATCGTGCGGTATCCTCGGGGATACTCAGCTAGTAAATCTTTTAGCAGTGCATTTCTAGTTCCAGTCTGTATGCGTTAATGCCTTTTGCATCTATTTGTGAGCGCGAAGAAATAAGTGTACCTATTTGGCATTTCCTTAAAAAATCGTGGATCGTTATAAATGAAATACATAGATATCTAACACCTATTTAGCATGGGATATTTTTTTCAAGTTCATCACAAAGTAAATAATTTCATGTCTTTATAATATATAAAAGATGTGATAGAAAAACAAAAAAAATAAAATAAACAAATACAGACGAGAGGAAGACAAACTACGTAAATATAGTTCTACAACACCTTCATTAGTACATACACGTGGTAGGAATAAATTATAGCAGGTTTCAGAGGACACAGAGAGACACTATTAAAATGATAAACATTCCACACATCGATAGGGGTTTAGGACTCACTCAGCCGTCGGCGGCCGTTTAGTATGGGGCTCTCCCATGTCATCGGTCAGAGAGACGTCGACGACGAATAATCTTCATAAGATGCTGCAATTTTGTAATATTCGCACATTTATACCTATGGCAACGAGTTAAATTGATTGTTTTAACACCATATTTGAATAGAATTCTACGTACGTGATGTCTTTAATGAAATAGTTAAAAAGGTTTGTGAGTTTGACATGGCAATGTGAGTGAAGTTCGTGAAGAAAGTTTCTTTATTAGATTTTTTTTAAATGTCTTCCTATGTAATTAAAACATACGATAATCTTAAAAGTTTTGACAGTTGTATTAATATTACAACTAGGCACTTGTTCAACGTATGTTCTCATAAAGAAACTTTTATCGAGCGCATTGGGAACCTTATCAGGTTTCAAATTTAGTTCGTTAATTTCTTGTATCAATATTGAATGAATATTGTTAGTTTAGTGAGCTAATATTGTGTCGGTGTATGTCATTTTTGTGCACATACTTGATATGATGCTTTGTATATAAAATGCACACGAGCATAAGATATGTGGCAGGAAACTACTGACCTGAGCTGTCTGTGACAAGACGAGGAGGCGTGTCCTCGCGGTCCGTTGGCACTACGATTACAACTTCATCGTCTCTAGGGGAATCACTGTTGCGGCTTGAAGATGTTCTGTAAATATTCAGTATTCTATACTGTATTTATCATCCCAAACATCAAAGTTGACCATATTCTGTGATTTTGTTAGAAATTGTCGCTTAACAATAGAATTAAGTAAACTCGTATGGTAGGAAATCTTTTTCCAGTTAAATTAAAGTATTTCAAAGTAATAGTTGAATTTATTATGTGAAAAGGCCGTAATTCTTTGACTATGTACACTTTATAACCTGAATTAAACTTTACGTCAGTTTTTACTAAGTGTAAGTGAAATAAACAATAGATATTTTGCAAACTTTTTTAGAGTGATTGAAACAATAATTAAAAAAAGGGTTAATAGAAATTGTTACTTACTTGACGATGACTTTCTTTCTCATAAATCTTGTGCCAAGGTCGGAATATCCTCTGTTCATAGGCCGTTTGTGTGGCATCGGTGGTGCTGAAGCAGGTACGGGATGTTCAAAAGAGCGAGAAACAGGCGAATTGGGCTCAGAGCACTGCTTGTCAGACAGCGCTGGCCGAATTCTTACGGTGAGTCCCCCTTCGCCGGAGGTTCCACTACCAGCCCCAGTTACTGCATTGCCTAATCTCCGCGAGGTACCTCTATCCTCCTTATACATTTCTAATAAATGATCCAATTTATTTTCTATATCATCTACCTAGAAAGAAAATAAAAGTATTTTAATTCTTTACTTCGGTTTCTCAAAAATGAACGTACCAAAACAACTTACTTGTCTTTCGATTTTAACTACTCTGGAAGCTAGGCTGATTTTTGATGCGTAGACATCTTTAGCTTTAGATCCTTGTTTGCCAAGTATTTGGTCTAACCTGAAGATTTTGGAAAAGTGCATGTAATTCATATAACAGTTAAATGACAAAATTTGTATGCGATTAACATTGTTTATTGTAAACAAGCTAGCTTCCTTTCAAAAAACTAATGTGAATGCTTGATGGAGAATACTCGTAGTATTGGAAACTTAGTAGATATAGTTATTATAGCTCAATTTAAGAACTAAGAACTACAATATCCTTTGCATATTTACTATAACTTTATAGAATAATTTCAACATTTCTATTATGTTAGATTACATAAACTGTAGCTCCTATATGGATACTGTTCCTCATCACAGTAGCGCACAAATAGGTAAGCATACAAAAGTAATATATAATGTTCCGCGATAACGCCGCGATATAACTTGAGGAATACCGCTGCTATTATTCCTGATTTTTATTCTCATTAATAAAACATTTTGCCACCACCTGTAATCTATATTAGTGAATAAAAAACAAATTTGTAGAAACCGACCAAATCAATAAGCTGTAAATAATAAATTAAAAAGAAAAAAAGACTACCACCGCACTAGGAATAAGTCCTAAGAATATAGAAATATTATATATATATATAATTTATGGATCGCACAAAGTGTTGGTGATGACGACGAGATGTGGGGATCGAACCCACATCACTCAGGAGCAGTAGGAAGCGGCGAGATGACCGCTTAAACCACTACGCCATCCGAGCTGAGTACTTATAGCTTTTGTATGTATAATTAACTGAGTAACTGAGCGTAAGCAATTTGGGATCGTCCTTTTCACTTCAAATTAATAGTTGTATGTTTTCAAGGTCGTATTCTACAATTTGTATGAAACGCTAATTAGAGTATTTTATTTTAAAAATAAAAACTAGAGTGCATTTGAACAATTAACTAATGAATAGTTGACTACTTTTTCAATGAAAGAACAAAACAATCACTAATGATACATCACTAGTAAAACAGGAATTGAACAAGATACTTAGATAAAATGAAGAAGTTATAAGCGTATTCCATAATACAAAGAATAAGATAAAACATAAACCCGAGGTAAAATAAAGTTTTTCCGGGCAAAGGAACAATACAAGTAAACCAGGAACTTCAGCCGCTTATAATTTCTGCATTAATATTGTTCGACTACATAAATGAAATTTAGATTAGTTTGAGTCAACTACGCAGTTGTCATTTAAGTTTAAAGCAAGCGGTGCATACCTACTTTAATTTACTGAATCGATTAATACTTGGCGATGCAAACACATGAAGCTCTATGAAGTGTTGAGACGCCACCGTGGACTGAGTAATTAATGTTCACGCTACACACAGTTTACTGAACAGAGTCGAAAAAGTAAATATCCCGCATTTAGTTGGAGAGAGATCAATGGTAATAGATTTCGGCCGGGTGCTGAAGCAATCTTGTTCTTATGTAAACTCTTCCGTTACATTTTTTAGTAAGGGTTTCTTTACTGCATGCACCCGTAGGCGGCCGTAATTGGTTTGACCTGATTTTGTGTACATACAAATAACATACAGAACCTAAGTTTAGGTAAACACAACAAAGGACGAGGGTTAATACACAATAGGCAAATACAAAATATGGTAATATGAGGTTGCATAATACATGTATTCGGTTACGTTTCCATTTCCTATCTATTTATTATAGTATTTTATTATTAGAAATAAACACGTCTAGGATATTAAGAAATAATCTATTTCGATTTCTGAAATTGACTCAATTTTGTTAACAGATTTTTTTAAAATAGAATACTGTCAATAAAATTTAATATTGAAATTAGATTATAACACTATTCTAGCCTTGAAAAAAAAATAACAATATTATGATGCATATATGAAGCATGCAATGCGAGAAAAAGGATCATGCATTTTGTTTTAAAAAAAATCTTCAATACTAAGAAATATCAGAAACAAGAGTGCTGACTGAGAAAATAATACAGAGCTCATAAGAGACACATCAGGAGTGTAAAACACCTAAAAACCTAAACCGACCGTTACTGATAAAATCACTACAAAAACACGAAAGCACTCAGTTGTAATGGGAAATGTGGACAAAAGTGTTGATAAAAAGTCAATTTTTAAATAACTACCTACTATATACACTGGTTTACTAAGGTAGTCTTTAACAAAATATACTTTTCTCGAATATTTAACATATTCTTGGGTGTAAGAACACATTAGTTACAAAAGCAAATTGTTTGTTGCTACTGATAAACCATGGTTGTTTCGGCCATCCAAATATCTGATTGTATTAGATACTTTCGTTGTTGATGAAATGTGAATGAAGTGGCGTCAGCGGTCGAGGATGCGCAATTGTGCGGGCGGCAACCTTCTCGCATCTCACCTGTACTGCAGGTTCTTGGTTCGGTTTAGCAGGTCAGCATGTCCCGAAGAATATTGCTCTATCACATCTTTGACGTCGTAAGGTTTCAGAGCTTCTCTAAATCTCTTGCGTGCGACAAAATACTTGAGCTACACGGAAATAAAAAGATCCTGATGGCTAATTTTGTAAATGACAACTTTCCATGTTATAAATTTGTGTTTTACTTTTCAGTAATATTGAGTATACGACTATTACATCGTAATTACAAAGCAGTTATCTACTACTGAACAATTACATGGGGTCGAAAATAATATAATGTTAACGATTCTTAGAGTTTCACATCTGAGTTCATTTTGATTTGATGAACATTATAAATATATATTAGTACTAAATTGGATAGGGTAAGACAGATTGTTCAATTCAGGCCAAGTGGTTTTAACGACACTACCTAACGCCGATGTTTCGAATCTTATTGGCAACCATGCATATAATAACAATAGCGTTACTATTATTTTAATGGGGCACTATTATTTTATATTATTTTAATGGCGGTTAGTTAAAGCTACCTGTAAAATCCTTAATTTCGATTAAACTTAGTCACTGAAAAAAACCTTGATACCGAGTTAGCTAGCACTTCACGTGGATGTGTCAGTCCTGTCCTATAACTACAATAAGGTATCTAGGTTGAGGCAGGGAGCGATTATTCAATTAAAGTACAGTTCTGTGTAGGGACTGCTTCCAAATGACTCCTAAAGTAGATAATAATCGACAACACGTTTTCAAGCCTACGTAATTATTTACTTTCCTTTAAAAAATATATATGTAAATTTTAATACAGAATTGAAAAGAATAATAAAAATGACTTTGATGATTTCACCATAGTCAATGTCATTCAGTAGCAACGTAGTCAAAATATTAAGTATTTAGTAGTAACAGGTAAATTTATGTACTACACTATTGTGTATGTTTTACGCTTTCGTTTTAAATAAATAATGCGTAAATCCAAGAAGAAGAATAATAATTATTAAATAATAATTAGCGCAGAGACAAAAGTATCACATGAAAACGTTATATGACTTAAAGGAATACATAAATAGAACAAGAATACGTGTGTTTTTGAAACTAGTACGAAAACAAAATTGAGCGATTTGGAAGCAGCCACGTTTTGTATTGAAGTTTTGCATTATGTATAGCGTTGCACACACTAACTACTGAGGTATTAAATTCGATGCCAACTACAGAGAAGTACAAGAGAGAGACGGTACACAGTCCAGACGAAAAGTATATACGAGTAGTAGGTACGTAAGAAGTAAATGATAGTGCATGGTGTACAAGGTTTCGCTCGTTGTTGTAGTACCTAGACTGGACGTTTTTCACCCGGCCCAGCAGGTCCACATGGCCCGCAGAATACTGTTCAATAACGTCCTTGACGTCGTAAGGCTTTAGCGCTTCTTTAAACTTACGTCGAGCCACAAAATACTTCATCTGTCAGAATTTAATAAGCAATTAAATAAGTTACGCATTTATTCCGGTACTTTATGATAAATTCCCAGAGGTAAATGATTCTTGAAAATTAAGATTTCAAAATTAAAGACCATCTTCACATCATTAAGAAACTAATATACCTACAAAGTTTTTAGAGGTAATTAGTATTTAGCTTTATTATTGTGAGTTAGATATTTTTCTATTACCTTTTTATATAAATAGATACAGAGTTTTTACTGAGTGTGTAAGTACTAATCTAACATATTGGTAGAATTTTGTTAATGAAATATTCTGTTTACAAGAATTTCATACCTACAAGGGCTATTTTATGCTCAGTAAAACTTGAGCATGATACGCACTCATAAGAAGACACAAAACATTTTAAATGATACATTTCAATCGCTTATTCCGCGTCACGGAAGATATTAGGTATATGACGTAATAAAATAGCTTCAATTATTTTCAGTTAGTTAGATCGACATGCTTAGTTTATTCTACATATAATTTACTTAACCCGGTCTATCCTAATTAACCTTCAAAGGACATTATTTCTTGTAACTTAAATAATTATAGTAAAATCCATTCTATTTTTATCACAGGATAATAGCTCTAGCTGAAATTTAGGTCCGGCATTAATAAAGCTATTAGGTGCTCATGTATTCAAAGTATAATTTCACCCTAAGATGTCCTTTCGTATAAGCTTTAAAATTTGGTAACGTTTGTTTGACTTAATTAATTTGTAAGTTAAGTTTTCAAAAGTACTTTTATACTTCTTATGCATTAATGATACTCGTATGCTAAATCACTTTTTATGTAATTAGAGTAGACTGCTAACTGTAAGTAGGCGTAATATATTTTGTGAAAAGGTCTGTTAAGGGTAATTTGAAATGGAAATGAATAAGGTTTGAATTAAATGTGACATACCTTTCTTATGAATCGTATGGCGGCTTTGTGTCGCGGCGTCAATGTTACACAACGTGGCTCCTCGTCCTCGTCTGCATACAAAGATTCATTTTAGGTTAATAATGCAATAGAAGCAATAACTATACCTGTCATTTTAAGAGATCATAATATTTAAGAAGTTAAGTTCGTAAGTATAGTCTAATTAATTATATATTTAGTAAATAATAATAATCAAGAAATTTAAAACATAGCGGTGATTTATACTCAATGTTTTCGAATGATCCTAGGTTTCTACCAGTACCCAGGTATAGAGTTTTCAAGAAACAGAAAATAAAAATCGTATTATTTTAATCAAATATTTCTATTTTGCACCTTCTTGGAATAAAGTAAACTATTTAATTTATTACAGCTCGTCTTTTACCTTTTGGTGTTGTACCTACCTAACCTAACAATGTACATTAATCATGTTTTAATTTTATACAATACTTAAATATTTCACAAAATTATCAAACTTCGTTCATAAAAATTATATAATTATTAAAAAGCCTTCATCCTCACTTTTATAGTTACGTAAAATATAAAATTTACGCATATTTTAATTGCATAATTATGTATGTATAAACAAATTTGATTACACATATAATAGGTCTTTACCTATGAAATTGCCGTTTGGTATGCAATAAGTGAAAGTACTTATTTTTTCAAACTTTTTTATTTCTGTTATTCGAAGTAATCACCCATGCAATGCAAAGTAATAGTCGGTAGGTACAAGGTCTGGTGACCAGACCAGACCTTGACCTACTGACTATTACTTTTTCCAAAATTTAGACAACTTTTTAGTAGGTAAAAAATACAATTCGCGAGAGGCAGTACAAAATGCCTTTGAAAAGTTTGTTGCCTCCCGTCCAGCTGATTTTTACAAGAAGGGCATCAATAAACTGCCAATGCGTTGGCAAAGATGCGTCGATTGCATGGGTGATTACTTCGAATAACAGAAATAAAAAAGTTTGAAAAAATAAGTACTTTCACTTATTGCATACAAAACGGCAATTTCATAGGTAAAGACCTATTACATACAATTTGATGTATAATCACGTAGTGGATATTATTAATATACCATACTTATTTACAGTTCTTTACAATGTCATAATGGTTTTATATTCTTTTTCACCCAAATGGCCTTCATTTAGACTCCGAATGATAATTTTTTTTTTGATGGCCTTCATTTCCGTGTAGTCAGCAGAAATATGTTTTTATGTTGCATTATTTCAACACTCAAGGTCTACTTTATAACATCTATATTTGAGTACTGTTTTTATTGAAGTAATCGATTGCATACGTTTACAAGCTTGTAATATATAAAAATTTCAAAATATAATTCCTATACTTATTAAACCACATTACATCCAATATTATAAATATTAGGTCCTTACATATGAAATTAGCGGTTTGTCGTACTGACCACTTTGATCTGAAATATTCCAAATTCAAATTTATAATTTCATTTAGCTGGTATATTTGAGTTTTGAAAACAGACATTCATTTGTTTTTTTCCTCATTATTTTTTTTTTGGCGTCGCTTATTACCGCACAATGGAAAACATAAAATATCGGTATATTTACGAGTACGAGCTCTACCGTGGCACCAGTGCTGCAGAAACAGCTCGAAGGATTAATGAGGTATAGGGCGCTGGTGTAGCAAAAGAAAGCACGGTATGTTTTTGGTTTCAGCGTTTTCGTTCTGGAAATTTCGACCTTGGGAACCAACCCCCTGGACGGCCGGGTCCAAAATCGTGTATGTACTTATACACTGGACATCTTTAGACTTTTTTAAAAGTTTACACATATTTGTTAAATAAATTAATAATAAACTAAAGTATTTCAAAGGTACGCGGATTTTGCTTATATATGTGTATAAATAATTCTTGTTACATATTTTCAGTACTTTTGCCAAACTGTTTGTAAAACTAATTTAAAATTGTACATTTATGAATTTAAAAAAATAATTTTGCATCTTTTTAATGTCGCAAAAGAAAATGAAAACTAAATAATCTCCAAACAGAATTTTTATTATTTATATAATATTATTATTAACATATATTTTAAATCGTTCCTTATGATGCTGCTGCCAGTACCTTTATATGATATATTATATATATTACTTCAACGTCGTGTTATACGTCGTATCGCAAGGCTGTTTGGTCAACCGCATAATTGACCAACCTTACGATGTATAGGTATATGCCTACATATACCAACAACGTACTCCTCTGCTATGGCGTTGTGGATTAACGCAATGCGGATTTGGTGCTCTTTAAAATTAACACACTGCTCAATACCTGGTCTATCTTTAACATTTGACCTATTTACTTTCATTCCCTTAAATAAACTGTAATTATATTTCTCGAAATATGTTACATTTAGTTCAGTGGGCCTAGAAAGTTAATGATTAACATTTTTTTCATTAGTACATCGTTAACACCAATGTACCTACTTGAAAACTGAAGTTATGTTTTGTTATATTTTTTATATTATTATTAAGAACAAGTTTGAAAAAATTGTTTTGGACTTTATGGATTAACTGGACCACAAGTCTAGGAAAACGAATATGAACTTACTTTACTTTTTACAGACATAAACTCCGGTTAACAACTGAAAATTCGGACGAGACCTAAAAAGTAGTCACCAATTCCAACAAAACAAAAGGAACGGAATTACCTACATAGGAACATCGCAAGAAATATCGTAATAAGTGAACCTTTGAAGTACCTAATGCATAGCACACAAAAAAATATCACATTAAAGTGATTTTATGTTCTGCGTAACTGCGTATCTTGTTTCCATTCTTTAATTTTAATTTATAAAAAATATCAGAATTATTGTTATGTAAGTATATAATTGAAGTCAATAACAGACAGTTTTTTTTTTTTATAGAATTATAGTTTCATCGTATAGACACAAATAATCTTATTTTTAAATATTAAGTAATGGAAGTTGTAGTTGTTATAGTCAACACACTTTTGTCCTTTGAATAGTTTATTGTTGATTTTCAAATACTAGAGATAGGAATTAAAGATCTCTTTAAAAGCGTTTTCTCTCCGTACTTTAACATTTAACAGTTCTATGAATATTTCGCTACACATCGCTGCGGTAATTATAATACAACTTCTTACGAACTGTATGGAACAAATCCGACTAAGGTTTACCTTGTGCAAGCAGCTAGTTTAAACTTAATTTCAATTGAGGATATAGTGCTTTGTCCACAATGCGTCAGTATGATAGACGTTTTAGATATTGTTTCAGGATCCCCACAGGAGACAATTTGATTCAGAACCACCTTATTTGTGTACGTTATCTAGATCAATAAGTTGATATAAAATAATTAATCAATACCTATTTTTATTACTTTTCCTGCACGTTGCTTTTAATCTAAAGTGATTTGGGGTTAATCTGATTTTTGATTACGGTACTCTATGTATTGTTACTAGCATTAGTCTCCGATCAGCCTTATAGTTGAAAGCAAAATTGTGCCAGAGACAAAAATGGTGGTTAAAGTAATATATTGCCCTAGTAAAAATAGACTATAAAACTCGTACTAGTGATACTAGTCCCTATATACTGGTCTGTACTATAATATTCCGTCTGTGTTATTTTTGCATGTATTTAGAAGAAGGTATTTCGAAAACTCATCTAAGGGCTGCTACGGCGTGGATACATGATTACTGTAACAATAAGCGGAGTTATAATTGTTTTAGTATCATCTTTAACAACGAACCTTTAATAGTCCACTGCTGGACATAGGCATCTCCTTAAAAAGTTATTGTTAGTATTGCTTTAGTATAGTCATTTTTAACCTAGTAAGAATTACTAGTGGAAATAAAAAAAACTATATATTCCAGACATATATCAGTTAATATGATCACCTACAGTGACATTTTTAATTTGTTACTACTGATACTCGTCCAGTGGTTGATTATGGTTGAATGATTGATGATAATGTCGACATGATTGAAGGTTTAAAAAAAAGTATGATTTTCTAAGGAAAAAGGAAATTACGATAATCGTATCATACCTGACATCAAAAGGAAAATCGTAGGCATTTATACTAATGTATTCGGGATACGTAATAGGTAAAAGTACCGGATATACGTAATATGCCAAAAGGCAAATCGAAGTCAGTTTGCTGTTTGGAAAGTGGCACATACGATAATATCATACGATAGTTTACATGAAGCATGAAATGAAATTAGGGAAATAAAACCATCATAAAACCATCAAGATTTTTTAATTGTAAAATCAAAAACAGAATCTATAAATCCTTTAAAAAAATTGAACCGACTTCAAACGTTATCAACAAAGAGCACTAAAAACCCAGCAGTAATCGCGGTTATTTGCTGACATTTTTTGAAGAGTTCCGTTGTCTGTCCATCATCAGATCTATATGAATTAAGCCCGAACACAATCATTCCAAAAATATAATCATTCGAATCAACAACCTCCTCCTTTTTGAAGTCGGTTAAAAATTTCATTTTTTTGACATTTAGAAATATAAATTATTAGATTCTGTTAAATTCTATTCTATATTCATTTCACTTATGGTTGGATTCTAAAGATGTACTATAGATGAATCATTTTCAGCGCCTTATTAATAATATTTTTACGATTTTCCTTTCGACCTTTGCTTCTGAATCTTTTGCAATTTTGTTGTATGCAGTAGGTACATTAAAGTATTTCTACGAAATGTAAATGAGAAATAACATACATAATGTTTTTTTTAAATAAAATATCTAGAAAAATAATATGAAATATATATAATATTAAATAAAATTTGATTCAAAAAGATTTTGTATAAGTTTCAAGAGGGTAGTGTTGAACAGTCCGCTCTTGAAATTTATACAAAACTAACATTTTTTACAACAATAATAGCTAAGCACATTTGTCTGACTATGTCTTTTTGCTAGATATTTTGTTGACATCTTACCACACAAAAGTCACAGATTCAAAAATAGACCACGCTTACACTTACTTTATATAACGCTGACAATAAACAATGGTGATCTGATAATGACGTTGTAAAGCTAATAGTTGTAGTT